CGGCTTTTTTCTTTTTGCTTATGTGGTGCTGAGGAATCAAACCCAGGGCCTCATGCATGCAAGGCAAGCGCTCTACCACTGAGCCACCTTCCCAGCCCTTGTAAGCTATAAGAAACAAGCAAAATTAACCAATAGGAAACACATTGAAGACCTGTTTAGTTCCAGCAAGAATACCTCTAATGGCTTTCTTTCGATGTAAACCTCCTGTGGGGTTAAGCAGTTGAGTGTGACGTGGCTCTAGGCTCAGGCAAACCTGACTTTTCATTCCAGCTCTGTCACATACAGATACACATGCAGCTTCAGGCAAGGTAGGCTCTAAACCTTAGTTTCTTCTACTGTAAAGTGGAGACAATAAGACTTACTTCCAAGCTGTCAGAGGGATTACACCAAGTTGACCCACCAAGAGCTCACACGAACCTAATGGCAGCAGTTGGTAAACGACTGGTGTTCCCACGGCTCCAGGTTCACTCAGCTTTGAACGCCTGGCATAGGTAGCTGCCTGAAGTATCAGTGACTTAAGAAAAATGAATCTGGCAGACATTTATTTAGTTGTCTGTAGTGTTCGTGTGTCCTTATGCACTGCATTTTCTTTGGGGACTGGGTATGGCAAGGTGGATTGTTTCTTCTCTGAAGGGAGTCCTTTCTTTACCAGTCTGGGTGTGTTTCTTGCAGGAGGAATTTGATGGGGTCCTGAGAGAAGAGACTGTAGCTGAGGCGCTCCACAATTTGGGGCGCTCGGGACCTGGGACAGGGCAGGTCTACCTAGATCTGAGTTTATCGGTGAGTATGACAAGCTCTCATTGGCTCCTACATCCCGACACTGGCCATACCATGTAGTTTTTTGTTTTTTCTTGTCAAGGTGACATACAGAGGGGTTTCAGTTATGTAAGTAAGGTAATGAGTACATTTCTTGTCAAACTTGTTACCCCTTGCCTCAATTTTCTCCTCCTTTCTCTTCCCTCCAACCCCCCTCCCAAGTGGTACAGATCATTTCCAACATATTGTCATGTGAGTGTCGCTGTTGCATTGGTTCCCCCTTGTCCTTTGTCTCACCATTCTGTTGTTCCCCTTCCCTTCCCTAATTCCAATAAACATATATACAATACCAGGGTACCAAAATCAAATACAGAGGATATACCATAGGGGCAAGAACATACAAAAGAAGAAGCAAAAAAAAATCACATAGTACATCAACAACAACAAAGAAAAACCTCTTGTGTCCATGTCTTGGCGTTCATCTCCCTTAGTGTCATCTTATTTGGTCAGATATACATAGCTATGGAGCTCTTCTGCTCTTCTTCTAAGCTTATCAAACAGGATTCATTTCAGGGTTGGCTTTTCTTTGGTAGTCATTGTTCTTCTGGGGACAGTAAGTCTCAGACCTTGCCTTGTGAAGGGGGTGGTGGAAGAGATGCATTATGGAAATATTAGACTTCAAAGAGCACTGGCCAACAGAGTCCTCGGCACCCAAATTCCTTGTTTTCAGTCCTTGCTTTGCACTTTCTTTTATCTTAATAGTCTACTCGATGGCAATCAATGCTTTCTTTCCAGGAGGTTGAATTTGATTCTGTAAAACCAATCAAAACCCCTTTAAGAATTTTCTCTCTGATCAGTGAAAGAAATACTGAAATTTATGTCTGAATCCAAAGGAATTAAGTATTTTGATATTGACTTTCCCCTTGAAGTATGTCAAGAAGTAAGTAGCTTTGAGCTATACTTTATTTTCCAAAAAATACCTGTCACTGAAAAAAAAAAAACTATTGTTATCCATCAGCTTTCAAAATTTCAGTCCTAGTCAGAAAGAAGCACAAAATCTTAGTCCCAGTTTTCTCCTAAGAGGCTGTAAGTATGCACTCTTCCTTTCTTTTGCTTTCTATATGGTCTCAGACAAGTAATTTAACTCTTTTTTTTTCTACTTCCTTATTATAAAGCACTAACATATCCCTTCAAGATTCACAGAGTAAATATAGCTACATGGGTGAGAAGAAAAACACACAGAAATTGTACTTACAGGTCCATGAACTAGCTCCTTCATGACGTGGCTTATTGGCTGCTAGAATATTCTGTCTTGGATTCGAATTGCTAAACTGCTTCAGGAACGCTGTGCTGTTGTTCACCTGTGCCTCTTGGCATAACCTTCAAGGTCAGCATAGTAGGGCTCTATGCTCTCCTTCTTGTTATTTTACTACTGCGACGGGAGATGTCTCACCCAGTCAGAGCACAGGGGACCTTACGCGGGTACTGTGAGGTATATAATTCCTGCAGCTAGTACAGGCCACACAAGTCCATTTCAGTCCACATTCCACTTACGTATGGAGTGCTATGCCTTAAGTTCATCTATTTAAAAAAAAAGCAATTCTTTAAATCTTATTTCAGCCAGGGGGAGTACAGCTGAACCTGTTTTGCCGCTGACCTCCTTTCATGGGAGATATTCCACGTTGAATTGTTTGGTCTTAAAAACCCGTATTACCAAATACACTTTCTGTTTAGTGGTGCTTTTTTTGCCCCTCCTCATATTTTACTGATGTTACACATTATATTTTGTTCTATTATTTGCATACATATCTTCCCTTTGCCAAGATCTCAAATTTCTTTATTTAGTTATTTGCTTATATTTCCTTAAGTAATTGAACAAAGTGGTTGGGTGTCATCTGAGCATGTCAGGTCGTGAGTATATTGCATTCTGATCAACGTTACCCTTTTATTATTCTCCCCCATCTCTCCCAGTTACAGCTCTAGCCCATCACTATCTTCATTACGCCAAGCATAACAAAGTCTTATGCACAGTAGGAAACAGGTATCAGTACTTATTTATGACCGTTAGCAGTCTTCATTTAGCAATCATCATTAAACTGTATGAGAACTTGCTTATAATGCCTCTCCTTTGGTTGGTCTCTTTCCTAACATGACATAAACCACAAGATCCAATTCTTTTATCACCCCACTTGAACTCAAAGCAGAATTTCCTGGAATGAATTTTGGACAAGGATCCACGTGACTTGAATACTTTCTGTCTCTCACTTACTCGCTGACTTCTGGCTGCTTTTATTCGGCTCTGTACTTCACGTTCCTCATCTCTAAACTGGGAACAATCTGCTGTACAGATGTCTTAGTTTTGTTTGATCTGTTCAGATGATTGTGAAAGAGCTTTGAAAATGAGCTCTGGGAAGGTGTAGGAAGTATTGTTATTAATGATCTCCTGATTGAGTGTGAATTCCCTTTAAAACTTCATTTAAATTCTAGGCATTTGCTTTCTTACTTCTACTAGATAAAAGCTTTGTCTTTATTGCTATTATGTATTTTTTAAACAAAAAAATTCTGCTCTAAAGGTCTTCACGAACACTGCTTTAATTTGTCTTTTCATGTTGTATTCATTCTTGCTAACAACACTAATTTTCTTCAGAGAAATGCTTTTTTTTTTTTTTAATGGAGCCCACAGTCTGTTCTTGAAATCCCATTAGTAGTACATTTTAGATTCTGTTCTCTTCTTTACTTTTGAAAGAAATCCTGGATTTCTTTCTGTCCACTGTTTTTTCTCCTCCCAGATGTTTACAAGAGGCTTGGTAGTAACTTGGTAAAGTCATGTTAAAGTCTTTTTTAAAATCTTTTATTTTCATAGGATTATGGTCTTGTTGACATTAGGATTCTGAGTAGATATGTTCACCTACAGAAGTTGGATCTTTCAGTGAATAAAATTGAAGGTATGTAAAGTTAAATTCTATAGCATGTTATATACTAACCTTGATATAAGTGGTGTATAGATCAGTTTGCTTATGAATCCTTTGTTTCCCATTCTCCCTCTCATTAAAAGAAGGAAAGAAAGAAGGAAGGAAGGGCCACTAGTGACTGTTAAGTGAAGATCAAGGCCCAGGTCTGCAGTATTCTGATATGATTGAGATGTACTTCGTAAGGATGGAATGTTTGCTTTCTTTTTCTCTTTTATAAGAGTGTTCGTTATCTCTTAAGTATTTCCTGAATGTTTGATGATTCCTATTCTTTCCTTCTATTACTTAGTGTAGATGAATTAGTCTCTCTTTTTCTCACTGATGGATTCTTTTTTTTTTTTTTTTTCTTTGCCGGTCGTGGGGCCTGAACTCTGGGTCTGGGCGCTGTCCCTCAGCTCTTCGGCTCAAGGCTAGTGCTCTACCACTGGAGCCACAGCGCCACTTCCGGCTTTTTCTGTTTATGTGATGCTGAGGAATCGAACCCAGGGCCTCATGCTTGCAAGGCATGCACTCTACCGCTGAGCCACCTTCCCAGCCTCACTGATGGATTCTTTTCTTTGTTTTACTTTTGCATTTTACATTTCAACCCAGACTAGTTCTATTATTATTTGAGCACCAAGAATGTCTCTCTGTCTCTGTCTGTCTCTCTCTGTCTTCTTCCCCATCTCTGTGTTTAGTTGATTCTTTCAGTGTTACAATTTGTAGTTCTCTCTATATATTTGTTAATGGCATCTTTTTCACATTTAATGAAATTAGTCCTATGATGGTCATATTTTCTTCAACACTTGATCTTTGTGTATGGTCTTCTGATCTTATTTGATATTAGTAGCATGTATTTTTCTTTAGACTCTTGTATAAGTAAGCAAATCATAATTTCTGGCTTACTTTCTCTGCTGATGACCTTTCTGGTTGCTTTATTTATCTGCTTTTTAAAACTGACAAATGTTGCTGATATGGTCTCTTCATTTCCCTTTTTATTTCCTCGTCATATGACACTAATAATTACAACATAATCCTTTTAATAGTTAAGAAGATTCTATCCCTTTTTAATCCTTAAGATGTTACTGTTGTTGACTTTAAAATTCTTTTCTAGATACACACACACACACTAAAACAAAACAGCCTGCCTATAATTCTAGCTGTGTGAGAGGTTGAGATCTGAGGACCTTGGTTCAAAGCCAGCCCAAGCAGGAAAGTCCTTGAGACTCTTCTATCCAATTGATCACTAAAAAGCCCTAAGTAGAGCTGTGTAGAACACTAACTTTGAGCACAAAAGCTCAGGGACAGTGCCCAGGTGCTGAGTTCAAGCGCCAGCACTGGTGTGCACAGGCACACGTGCACACCCGCGCACACACGTGCTTTTTTAAAAAATTACAAACAAGATCATAAATTGAGAGGATATTGGGGTGAGTATTGAAATTCAATAGTCATCAGCCTTCTGTCAATCTGGTTCCATTTATCTCTCCCTGTCCACCAGCCCCAGGGTTATTTTAAAGCAAGTCCCCTATTATGGTAACGGTATCATCAGAAAGACTTTTCCCCCCTTTAGTTACGAACAGGGATGCTCTGCACCTCTTGCCCTCGCCCCGAATTCCCAGTGTTGATTTCCTTTGCTGCATTGGGAGCTGCAGCCTAGGGGCAGGTCGGCTGCCGGGGAAGGCCTCAGGTCCGTATCCCTGCTGCCTGAGCTGCGAGGCGAGGCCGCAGCCGTGGCTAAAGCTCTCCTTTCCACTGAGCTGCATCTTATCTCTCCTGTGTGGTCCACGTCCATTCATTCCTTCAGGGGTTTTCCGGCTGCGTTATGCCCCACACCGAGCATCTTTCTTTTTGTGATGCCAGCCTGATGTTCTGATGTAGACCGTATTTCAGCTGGCGTCGGAATCATCCTCAGAGTTTCTGATCCCGAGTGGGCTTTGAGTATCTGCCTTTGGGTTATGTTGCTCTGTTGCGTTTATGCTGCTGGTCCAGGACCTCACTTTGAGAAGCGCTGATGCAGACACGAGGTGCTCCTGCCATCTGGTGGACAAAGTGGTCACTGCACCCAGTAGAGACCTCTCAGCAACCCAGGCCAGGGATTATTTCTGTCTCCGTGATCCTAAAACACAGGCTGTCTACCAAGCGTAAAATACACTCACCAGCTCTTTACTAGGACTAACACAATTGCTGCTTTTGCTTTCAGACAGATATCTATGGTAGTCACGATTACTACCAGCCTACAAATAGTTGTTGGGCTCCAAAAAGGGTTTAGGGGCTCAGTGCAGGTTCATAGTTGAGACCATTCCTGCTAGACATGTTAGCTGAGTTCAAAAGAGATAAATACAAACCGAAAAGCCTTCAGTTTCTTCTTTGGCTTCCTCTCACAAGCTGCCTTCCTCAATTCAGTCATTATTAAGTTTGACCAAAATGTTAATGTCCCAACGTATGTAATTCCATTTGGAATCCCCCTGAGTGCGTAGTCTTTTTAATGTGATATTCAAGTTTCGGGATATTTTCTTGGAATAAAATGCAGAACTCAGATGTTATTTTGAACCAATCCAGAGTGAAAGTACAATAATAGCAACAATCTAAATCACTTCAAATAATTAATGAGATTTAGGATTAAGTCCAACTAAAACAAAATTGAATTTACAACAAAAGAGAGTTTCCTAATTATGTCATTTTCAGTCTTCCAAAAAGACTTAATTCTGTTATTTAGGGGCTAATTATCGAGAGGATTATCTAAGGCTTTAGTTTTACATCTTTTCCTCTGAGGCTGGCAATTTTTGGAGCTGTTAGGTGCTCACAGATCATTGGAGAATAAGCAGGGGACACGCTAAAGGCTTAGGCCATTGGTTACTTGGCTATCCTGGAAATAGGTAGGTAACATTAAGTTGTTACCTTTAAGAGAGTTTCCCGCACAATTTTTGGTGTGTTTTCTACCTTCTTGATTTTATTAATGTGACTTATCTGTAATATATAAGATGTGTTCAGGTCTGGCATATTAAAATATTGTAAAATAATATACCCTGCTTTTGAAAAAGTAATTATCTCTAGTTACTTAGTTGGCTTAACTATTCTGTATCTATTTTCTTTCTTCCAGATTTGTCTTGTGTGAGTTGCATGCCTTATCTCCTAGAACTTAATGCTTCTCAAAATAGGCTGACTACATTCTTCCATTTCAAGCCACCCAAAAATCTCAAGGTATACTTATCACTATTTTGATTTTCAAAATATCGTAAATAAGCAAAATAGTGCTAAAGTAGAGACATTAGAGAGAATAAAATGTAGGAGTATATAGTATACGTGTCTGGATAGAAATTTTTAAAAGGAGTCCTTACGCATCATTTGCTTTGGAGACGGGTGGTCATCTGTCAACAGCTATTATCTTTTTAGGAAGCTTTGCTGAAACTTAATGTTCAAAGAATGACTTTTCCCTCTTCTTGCCCATCTTTAACTAGTCATTATTGTGTTTCTTTTGTGATAGCAGGGAAATTTTATCTGAAAAGCCTATCAGACTTATTTAGGGTCTCCGCTTTTGCCATCTTTATTTCACCTCTACTCTTTAAGAAAAAATAATGGGTTCAGATCCCCCACTCTTGATTCTGGTTTTCTGAAGCAGGAACGAGCTCCGTGTGACTAGTTCACCATGCTGGAGTGATGTTCCTTCATTACACCAGAACCCAGGTCGCCTGTGGCTCTTAGGAAAATGAGATGGTGGCCTGGCAGTGTGGGAGGGGCCCCAGGCTGTGAGTCTAGTCCAGCCAGATGTCCTGGCTGCTGGCCCGTGGGCCAGACTTATGGACAGGTTGTGGAGCACTGGCTGCCAACTTGACTACACGTTGAAATCAACTGCGGGAATTTAAGAACTACTGAGGTTTGGAATCCATTGCCAATGACCCTGCCAGTAGCTGAGGGTAAAGCCTGACCTTTTGTCATGTTAGTACCCCCGCCCCAACTGACTGTACCATACTGACAATTTTAGAGCCATTCGAATATTTAAAAAATTCTTTTAAGGACTAGAGGAATAGCTCAGCAGTAGAGCACCTGCCCAGCATGTACTAGGCCCTTGTTCAAACCCCAGTAAACACACACAGACACATACACACAGACACACACACACAGACACACACACACAAACACGTACACACAGACACACACACAGACACACACACACACATACACACAAAGTTATTTTAAGGACTGACCAACTATTACCCATTATTATCTAATCCTTTTCTTAATAAACCAAGTTAAGTGAGATCTAAAGTATTCTCCTGAGGCTTACCCAAAGATGAAAAAGCATTTGAAACCAAGAATTCGATGTTCTCCACATGCCATTGAAGCAACTTAATTTCTTCGTCTATTATTCCCTATCATTCCATCTTATCAGTCATGTGCTTTTCCCTCTGGGAGTTTCAGTTCCCCCCTGGGTGCCATGTGAGGTGCCATCGTCCTCAGTGTGAGCTGTGCTCTCTCAGGCTCCTCAAGAATGGTACTTGCAGCACTGATTAGATTCTCCTCTGCTGCCCTGGTCACCTGACTCTGAGCCAGGGAAACCAAGTCCCAGACCACCCAGGGGAGGCGTTAGGGCCCCATGAGGATTCCACGCTGTGTTGATTGAGGCCTCCCAGTGCTTTCAACCCACCATCTTACGCGATCTTCCCAGCAAGGCTGTGACCAGCTGGCACTGCCCCATTTCACAGATGGGAAACACTGAGGCCCACAAAGGTGAAGCATCTTACTTCATCTTTGCAGGGAAGTAGAAGGACTGAGATGGAACCGGTGGTTGAGACCCCCGAATCCCCATGTGTCCCCTGAAAATCAGGCTTGAGTTAGAACTATTTCCTACCCTCTTGAGAAGGTAGACTTGCTTCTTACTTGGGGTCTGTGGTGCTCATGCCACTAACCAGAGGGAGCAGGCAGGGGTGGGGCCTGACCCTCCGTGTCTTTCTTCAACTCCTTCTGATATTCGAAGGAGAAGAATGAGTTTGATTTGATGGGCTCTGAGTTCCAAGGGAGTCAGAACAATATCATAACCCTTGTGAATTTCTCCATGAACCCTAACCTCATGAGCACCTAGGGGGTGCAGCACTGGCTTTAGCCCTGACAGAGGTGTAGGTAATGGACAGCCGTGCTATGCTACACGAAGGAAAGGTGTGAGGAAGAAATGTCAATTACAGGTAGGCCCACAGAATGGTAAGTTCATTCTAGTTTGTTATTAGATAGAAGGAAAGAAATGAATGTTAAATTCTATGTATACCATTCCAAGCTTATTAAGTTTTCTATGCTTCCCGTTGGTGCATGAACCAATTTCTTTCCATTTTGTTTTCCTTAATGCCATTTTGTTTGTACATTTCTATTTCTTCCTGTGAGTTTAGCCTCTGGGTTTTGCTGACTAGGTAACCCCACTGTGACATTTGTAATGAGCCTGACCAGGTTACTACTCTTGCCTTTGAATGGTTTCTAACTTGGTATTTCATGTAGAAAAGTGTTCTCTTAGCAAATTGTTGGGACTAGAATCACCATTTGAAAGGCTATGAGAAGGTAATACTAGTAAGACAAGTGCTTGCTATATTATTGTTCAGTGTATTTCCAGAATATGATTGCTGTACTCTTGGGACGAGTCCTGGGGCTTGAACTCAGAGCCTGGATAAATACTATTCTTGAGCATTTCTTCTCAAAACTAGTGCTCTACCACTTGAGCCACAGCTCCACTTCTGGCTGTTTTTGGCGCTTAATTAGAGATAAGAGTCTCACAGTCTTTCCTGCCTGGGTTGGCTGTGAACTGAGATCCTCAGATCCCAACCTCCTGAGTAGCTAGGATTCTAGACATGAACAACAGCACCAGCTCTTTTTTTTAAAAAATAACTTTGTTTGTTTTTGTCTAGTAGATGAATTAAACTTATTTATTCCTTTTTAATCTTTAAAAAAAAACTAAGACCATCAGAGGTTGCTGTAAAGGTCTCTTCCTTAGTCAATTTTGAGAAATGATATAGAGTTGAACAGATGTGGCCTAAGGGACAAATAAATACTCTCCTGTTAGCTAGGGGTCACAAGGGATCCTAGTGACATAGGAACAAAAAAGGTCAAGATGAAGAAATGAAGTGAGGTGGAAATGCGGCTGAGGCGGATGGAGCTGGAAGGCCAAGAAAATGTTACCGCTGTGCGGGAGGCGCGGCTGTGGGAGGCGAAGCCGGTGGGTGGGAAGGCAGCTCTGCGAGGGCAGGGAAGCCTGGCCTTAGTGCCCCTCAGCCTGGGCAGACGCGATGGGTTTCTTATCTAGAAAATGGTTAGAGACAGAGGACTACTTTGGCCTTAGTATACATTCTATCAGTATACTAAGTAATGAATTCAAAGTCTGTGTTCACAAATCTTTCCTCTAGGTTCGAGTAATCGCTGGGGGTGAATCTGAATGAAAAACAACAACTAACTTCTTCGTCTCTTTTTCTCGCCAGAAGGTGGATTTTTCCTTCAACCATATTTCTCAAATGTCTGATCTGTCGGCATACCATGGTCTCACTAAACTCATTTTGGACAGTATCCTTTATATGGCTAAAGGGGGAAATTGGGTTAATAACACCAGCAGAAAATATGTGTCAGATTACATGGAAATAGTACCTGAGAAGCAGTTCATTAGGAATATATCATTTTTAGTAAATCATCTAAATGATTAAGAATTGATAGTCACAAACAGGCGTGGTGGCATATCCCTGTAATCCCAGCCAGCCTTCAGGACACCGAGGCAGGAAGACCTCTAGTTTGAGGCCTGTCAGGGCTACGTAGTGAAACCCTATCTCAAAAAAAAAGTATAGGGGAAAAAAAGAAGGGAGGACGTATCTTATTCATTAAAGAATAAAACTATAGTCAAAGTTTGCCAACTAGAACCTCAGTCCTGAAGGCTGCCCCAGCCAGCCCTTCTTTAATAAATGTCAGCGGCTTCGTAATTCTAGAGCCAGCACAATTGTTCTGATTTCATGAACACATTCCTTCAAATCTACCTCAACTTGTTCCCCTTTAATATGAATTCAGTCTTTGAAAATCCAGAGTTACCATGAAGAAAATTAGGAGTAGTTTTTCACAAAAGAATGTATACCATTTCCTTTAAATAAAGCACCATGTTCCTAGTTTGGTTAGTTTAGTTATTTGTGCTAGGTAGGGATCAAATTCAGGGCCTCACCAAGGTGAGGCAAATACTAACCACTGAGCGGTATCCCCACTAAAGACAGACACACATTTTGATTGGTAGCCAACTTCAGGCATACATAATTCATGCTCTCACTAGTCAGCATCTTCTTGTAGGGCTGAAGGAGTTAACTGAGATCTGAGAGTTAATGAGCTTTAGTCTCTTCACCCCAGAGACTGAGATCCCCTGGGTATCAGAGAGCAGTGCCGCCTCTTTCTCACTACGTATCTTTCTGCCCTCTTGACAATGTTCTGGGGCAGACTGGAACGTGACTTGGTTTCCCCTGTGTGCCTCATTCCAGGGTTTTTGCCATAGCGTGGTATAAGAAGGCTGGGATGATAGAAGGTGCTTTTCTCTCGGAGACCTATTTCTGAAAAGAAACTCTTTATGAACATATATAAATTGCTAGGAGAAGATAGCAACACTCCCTTTAGGACCTGCACATGAAAATAAGCAGGGAGAAGACAGACAGTGCTCTTCAAATGAGGGTATTCTCCTGATCACAGCTCAGGAGAGAAATCAGAAAATGATCTATAAATGGCAACTCCTTTGTACAGCTACTTAAAGATAATACTATTTTATTTTAAAGCAAACGATCTAAAGGAAGGGTTTGGATAACAGGGTAGAAATATGAGCGTGGACAGCATGTTCCTGTGTGCCTTCGAGATATGTTTGACTGAATTTGCAGAGAGACAGTCCTGGAGCCACTAGGCTCAGAAATCCACCCATCTCCCATCACATAGAAAAGGGCTAGCCGGGCACCAGTGGCTCACGCCTGTAATCATAGCTACTCAGGAGGCTGAGATCTGAGGACTGCGATGCAAAGCCAGCCCGGGGAGGAAAGTCTGTGAGACTCTTATCTCCATTAAACCACTAGAAAGGTGGAAGTGGCGCTGTGGCTCAAGTGGTAGAGCGCTAGCCTTGAGCTGAAGAGCTGAGGGACAGCGCCTGGGCCCAGAGTTCAAGCCCCACAGCCGACAAAAAAAAAAGGAAAAAGAAAAGAAAAGAAAAGGGCTTTAGAATCCCCTGAAACTTCTTAGAAATGCAGATTCCCAGGCTGCAGCCCAGACCTCTTCAACCACAACCCTGCACAGAAGCACTGGTCTAGAAATCAACTGTCCCCAAACTCCTGGCTGCTAGAAGGGACACAGCATCCAGACACCCTTCCTGACATTCAGGGTCTCTATAGATGGCCTCATGGAGTTTGATATGGAGAGTTCTGCCCAGTCCCGCCCTACCCCCCCGCCCCCCGCCAGCCCCTAACATGTTCTATATGCAGCCTGGGATTGCCAAAGGAAACAACTCTCCAGTAGACAGCTTAACACATTTCTATCATGAGTTTTAATTCCAAGATAAATTTAGCTTTCCATGTTGTAGCTTTGTAAAAATGTCAGATATCATGAAGAAAGGAATTAGGTTTTTTTTTTCCCTTAAAGTTGACATTTGGTGTAGCAATTGAGTCTTATCAGTGAGGTATAAAGAGCTGCAATTATTGCATCAGAACTAATTGAGATGCAGAATGTAGGTATATAATTAGAGTGTAACACAGCACTATAACTCACCTATGTCTGAAAAAAACGGGCTAATACAAGTAGCCAAAACAAATTACCCTTCATAGACTATTGATGAAATAAGCTTAGCTAGATCACAGTTTGAGAAGGTAGTTTCTAAATAATATTAAACATGCCTCTCTCTCTTTTGTCCTGTTCAAGGATGTCATATTAACCATGGCACAAATACTGAAGTTTTTTATGTTTCTCTGGACAGCTGAAAGCAAAAAGAATACATAGAGGCTTATACATTAATCCCTTTGGAGAAAAACAAAAGAAGTCATCAATTGTATTTTTTGTTGGTAGTGGTGGTGGTTGTGGGGCTTAAACTCTGGGCCTGGGCGCTGTTCCTGAGCTCTTTAGCTCAAAGTGAGCGCTATACCACTTGAGCCACAGCTGGTTTTTCTGGTAGTTAATTGGAGATAAGAGTCTCACGGACTTTCCTGCCAAGGCTGGCTTTGAACCATGATCCTCAGATCTCAGCTCCTGAGTAGCTAAGATTACAGGTCTAAGCCACTGGCACCCAGCTTGTATTATTTTTAAAAGACAAATATCTAGAGATTAAAAATATAGGATCATATATTTTTTTTTTTTTGGTCCGGTTGTGGGGCCTGAACTCTGGGCCTGGGCGCTGTCCCTCAGCTCTTCAGCTCAAGGCTAGCGCTCTACCACTTGAGCCACAGCGCCACTTCCGGCTTTTTTCTTTTTGCTTATGTGGTGCTGAGGAATTGAACCCAGGGCCTCAGGCATGCAAGGCACGCGCTCTACCACTGAGCCACCTTCCCAGCCCAAGGATCATATTTTAAATGAGTTTTGTGCTAGTGGATTTGAAAACAGAGGAAATGGACAAATTCCTAGACAATTATCACACACCAAAACATTGATTTGGAAATAAAAACTCCAAGTTGTCCTTAATTATGAAAATAATTTGTTACAAATTACAGTGAAATGAAATTAAAATGAATAACCTGAAGATAAAATCACCATAAGGCCCAAACTTTCAAGGTGATGAATAGATACTTTTGAACATTAAAGGTAGAAATAATAATCACAATTCATTCTAATCAAGTTACATTGATATCTGCAGTAGGTGAGGAGATAGAAAAGAGGAGAGGACAGGCTTGCTCACTCCTGATATAGATGTAAAAACCCTAATAGTAGCCACAGACTCTGACAATGGTGAGAGGCAGATGAATATTATTACCAGATTGGGTTTGTTCAGGAATGTAAGGGTAATTTCATATTAGAAAATCTATGAATGTCATTAACTACATTAATACAGTCAGGAAAATAAACCTCGTGATCCTTAGATAGCAACATAGCAGCATAAGTAATTTAATAAAATTTAGCAGAATCCAGCACGTATGCACAATGAAGCTTTCAGTGATCTAATATTTCTGTATCTAATATTCTTTGGGAATATTTATAAAAACGTTCAAAACAAGCTCTATCTGGATTATGGGCCTGTTGTAAGAATTCGTTAAGATGGAGATCAAGGCCAGATGCAGCCATTGAACTTGTACTCCTCATGGTTTTGGAATTCTTTTCTCCATACTACATCAAGAGAAGTTAGAGGTAGAAGGTTAGGAAGGAGAAAGTACAAGTCGCTCTTTCCAATGACATGTTTAGCAACAGAGAACATGAAAAGGAATCTGCAATAAATGACTAGAAATAAATAGTTTTCAGAGTTCAGCAGGGTGCCTGGATAGGATTTCAATAAATAGAAATCAATTGTATTTCTCTCTAGCCGAAACAAGCAATCAGAGCATGCAATTTTAAAACAGAGGCAGCGTTTACAAGAGCAACAACCCTGAGTTTGTTAAGATGAATGAGATCAGTGGGAGGAACATAACAAAACTGTGTTAAAGAGTAGTGAAAACTTCACTAAAGAGAAACATATCAGATATCCTCGGATAAGAAGGTGGGCATAGATGTGAAAGACGGTTACAAACAATAAACCAGAAAGGGCAATAAACGAGTGAAAGGAAGTCAGTCAATTAACTCTAAAGTACTGATGTTTTAATTGATCTCATTGGCCTCTTTTCCCTTCCTTATGTGAATCGCTGATAATTCATTGAGAATCACTTTAAATTGCAAAGTTGTAGATGTGGATCAGGCTAAGCATTTCAAGTAAATACAATTTATTCCTTACCTATAAGCATCGGCCAATTTTTAATTAGAACATATCTTAGTATTATAGAATCATAGCATTAAAAAATGAGATTCAGGCCAGGGGCTCACACCTGTAATTCTAGCTACTCAGGAGGCTGAGATCTGAGGATCGAGGTTTGAAGCCAGCTTAGGCAGGGAAGTCCATGAGACTCTTATCTCCAATTAATTCTAAAAAGCCGGAATTAAGAGTTACGGCTCAATTGATAGAGCACTAACCTGGAGCACAAAAAGCTTAGGGATGGCACCCAGGCCCTGAGTTCAAGCCCCAGGACTAGTGCGCGCGCGCGCGCGCACACACACACACACACACACACACAAATTCATAGAATTTCACATGTAAGTCACAGCAGTTTCGAGATCCAACCCCTATTTTAAATATTATATGGAAAGCGGAGTCTGAGACCCCCGGTGGGTCAGCATCTTCCCTGAGATCATCTGATAAATAACTGACCTGAGATTGCTCTTCTGACGTCTGCTGTTTTTGCCCATGTCACAATTTATCAAGTACTTAGTGCTTTGACCAGAGAGCTGTTGAAACGGCATGCGTGCTTTATTTCTTGAGGGGTTCGCTTCCCTGGCAAAGGCTATTTGTTCAGCAGGAGGTGATGTAGTTCTTTCAGCACTGGTTTTGATTAAAGCCATCATTGTGGCTCTTGCCACTAAGAGAACCGGGATGAGTCTCCTATTTATTTCCTAGTAACTGTTTTCGATATACCAGAACCATATTTTATGATTGTAGACAAATGAAAAAGAGCAAATACGGGACTACTGAATAATTCATGACAAGCACTCATGAACTACGGTCGGTGTTGCCAAAATGTAAAAATATATTTTTCCCCTAATCGTAAAGTTATGCTAAAATGCTACAGGGTTCCTTTACTCGGTTTACACAAGGCTGAGAAATTCCACTGCTCAAGATTTATCCACAGAACGGTGCAACTTGAGAGTTACAATGCAATATGATGACTCTGAGTTGCATGTGTCTCTCTCCTGATACTCATCTTTTAAAATTATAATATCCCTAAGAGGATTAACCCAGGCAGCTAATTCATTGAAATACTTTTAGTGATTTATCAGATTATATTTCTTCTTATCAGTAACTCCTAAGACCTAAGAAGGAATATGAAAGAATAATGTTAATAATGTTAGGATAAAAGATAAATAACATTTTGTGGAGGCTCTTACAAATAGGAAAACAGGAGATGGGAGTGATAATGGCATTTCTGAAAACAGACTCAACTCAGCTCTGTATATGACCATCATTATTGCTGGAGGTGACCCAGAATGGGCCCCTCAGATGCCATTATCTATGGATGCTCAAGTCTCTTCTATGGAATGCTGTAGCAATTCCATATGACCTATGCATATCTGCTCAGGAACTTCAGCTCTGGATTACTCATGCATACCTAATGCAATGGAGATGATGCTATGCAAATAGCTGTTAAGCTGTATCGCATAGATAATGGTGACAAGAAAAGAGTCTGTAGAAGTTCAGAAAAATATTCACTTTTTAAAATTGAACCCACGTAGATTGAAGGGCAAGCGGAACTCCTTACTCAAGAGCCTAACTAAGGTAGCCTCTCATGTGTGGGAAAATTACCATAGACCCAGTAGGAAAGGTTTCAGTTCCTTAGACGGCTCATTAGTGCCAGGATTCCTGTCTTCTAGTCTTCTGACCCTCAGTTCTCCACAACACCTTTGTACTCTGCCAGGATTCAGAGCATCTTCATCTTGGTTGGAATAGAGCCCAGGACATGGGTATCCCTGAAGTAGGGCTTCTATACTCTTGTGAGGAGATAGTAGCTCAAGCCTGTAATCCTAGCTACTCAAGAGACTGAAAACTGATCATCGAAGTTCCAAGCCAGACTAGGCAGGAATGTCCATGAGACGTTCATCTCCAGTTAACCACCTGAGAGCCAGAAGTGAAAGCATGGCTCAAGTGATAGAGTGCCAGCCTTGAGCAGAAAAGCCACGGGAGAGCACGGGCCCTGATTCAAGCCCCTGTGCTACCACCAAACCCTATCTCTCTGCGACACGTGAGGCAGGTGGCCAACTGGTTTTTCACAGCCCAGTTTTTGTTGTTGAAGATGACTTGCTCCACAGGGCTGTCTTTCATCTCATGATCTTCTTTCCTCAGCCTCCCAGTGCTAGGATCATAGGTGTGCATCACCTTGCCAAGCCTTTTCACTGTCCAAGTTTTTATTTCATCCGTTCCTGTGTGAGATAGTGTAATATCTTATTTGCTGTATTTCACATTCATATTTCACTACAATCCATCTGTACCTAGATCTGATCCTTAGTTTAGTTCCAGAATAATTATTTAAGCAGCCTCAAGGAGATAGAAGAAATGATAGTGTTTGTGGGCATAAATGCCCATTTGTAGGGCTGTTCTGGCAGGAAGCTTTATGGGAGTAGGCTGAAGATACATACTGACTTTCCAGTTAAGTCCTAGAGGAGAGCAGAGCTTTGTTTTTCTCTAGCCATAGATTGAATCTGAAATTCTCTGGTACATTTAGTACTCTATATTATCTAGTTTCCTTATCTGGTCTAGTCTTCTTCTGGTTCAACACCAGTCTAGAATCTTCCATTTCCAGGCTACTGGCCAAGATAGGCAGAGGACATGATTGGCAGAGGACAGTGATCCTGTTACCTGTGGCCTCCCATGTCGTTGGAACGCCACCATACCTGGCTTTTTGGGGGCGGATGGGTCTTTGTTTGCCTGGGCTGGCCTTGAACTAACTGCAGGTATGAGCCATCATGCCTGGCCTCAGCCTCATTTATTATAAAGACAAGAAGCCAATATACGTAGATATCTAACTGAGAGAAAATGTAGAGGCAGCTTCAGATTCTGTAAATGAGCCATATATGTATGCAAATGCTACTGGGCACACTCAGAATTCATGCCTTTAAAATTTATAGTATAATCAATATATATGTATATGTGTGTGTGTGTGTGTGTTATTCATGCCACATAGTGAGCATGATTCTTCTTTATCAAAACTAGTGTCTAGCTTTTCTAGTGATGATTTAGCACTTTTTTAAAAATATTTTCAAAACATTTTCCTTAAACATAGCCGTGGTATATAGACAATGAAATAGAAGAAATCACTGGACTTGAGATGTGTAATAATCTGACTCATCTTAGTTTGGCCAACAACAAGATCTCAGTAATTAATGGCTTAAACGCATTGCCAATTAAAATTCTTTGTCTGGTGAGTCCAACAATAACATGTTTTTCTTTGTAGAAGTAGTGATGGCTACTTGGGATTTATTTTGGTTGTTTGTGGGGCTTGAACTCTGGGCCTGGGCGTGAGCCACCAGTGCCTGGCTTGAGATTTTTTTAATTTTTTTATTGTGAAAATACTGTACAGAGGGGTTACAATTACATGGGCAAGATAATGAGTACATTTCTTGGCTTGAGATTTTTTTGTTTGTCAGTTTGGGGCTTGAACTGAGGGTCTGAGCCTCTTGGTGTTCAAGGCTAGCTCTCTACCACTTGAGCCACAGTGTCAGTTTTTGTTTTCTGGCTAATTGGAGGTAAAAGTCTTACAAATGCATGGGTTGACTTCGAACTGGGATCTTCAGACCTCAGCCTCCTGAGTAGCTAGGATTACAGGCGTGAGCCAGTGGTGCCCAGCTGTATTTGGGATTTTTCAAGTGTGTAGAGAGCAAAAACCTTCATGAAATGTATTCATTTTGTTCCTTTTTAGGTCTGTTTTGCATGCACCTGAATGTACATGATCATTATTCCATGATTTTGTGATTGGGTATCTAAGTTCAATTTTTTAGAAGATTGACTTTTTACACAACAAAAGATAGGCATTCTTTTTAAACAAGGATTTAAATATATTTGACAGTATTTTTATTGGTTAAAAACCATTTGAACCTATTTAAGCAGAATATTTATTGCTGTTCTTATTTTATTTCTTATTGTTCATTTTCTTTCAAATTATCTTCATGATGTTTCTAGGCACTGAGATTGGCCAGTCCTCCATTCATGCCAGGCTCACCTCCCAGGAAGTCTGAAATTGTGCTGATAATAAATGAGTAATTAGCTGGGTGCTGGTGGCTCACGCCTGTAATCCTAGCTACTCAGGAGGCTGAGATCTGAGGGTCACGGTTCAAAGCCAGCCCAGGCAGGAAAGTCCGTGAGACTCTTTTTTTTTTTTTTTTTGCTTTTTTTTTTAAATTTATTTATTTTTCATTTGTGAACATACTGTACAGAGGGGTTACAATTACATGGGCAGGATAATGCATACATTTCTTACCAAGCATTGCAGCCTCCTCCTTTGTTTACCCTTCACATCCCTTCCCAGCCCCCCCCCCCCCCCCCAATCCCAACCCTTCTCCTCCCCCCCCTTACCCCCCCCCCCACCGACGTTGTAAAGCTCGTTTTGGACATGACAACTTATACTTCTCGTTGTTGCATCAGGTCCACCTGTATCCTTAAACAACTGTTTTTTCCCCCTCTCCTCCACAAGTTATACTGACATCAAATATAGTGAAAGCAGGGGTTATACTGTGGGGGAGGGACATACAAAGCAACAAAGAGATAGTCTTATAAATGCGTTAGAAACACATGCATGAAAGAAAAAACATTAAAATACATGTCTAAGGGTTCATTTTCCTGACATCATATTATCTGACCTTTACCGCTTGACTCATACATATACTAGATATTGCAAATAAGGGAAACCATGGGACCTATGTTTCTTTGGGCCTGGCTTACTTCACTTAATATAATTTTTTCCAAGTTTTTCCATTTCCTAACAAATGTGGCAATTAAACCCCCCGTGAGACTCTTATCTCCAATTAACCACCAGAAAACCACTAGAAGTGGTGCTATGGCTCAAGCGGTAGAGCTCTCGCCTTGAGCTGAAGAGCGCAGGGATAGTGCCCAAGCCCAGAGTTCAAGCACCACGACTGACAAATACATACATACATACATACATAATTATAACCAGAAAGTTTAAACTTGATTGTTTTTCTACTGTGGAGACCTTTCTTTGTAAGCCCTATGGCATGGCATTTACCCAACAAACAGCATCAGCAAGATGATATAATCAACATTGAATGTTACCTGTGGGTAGCACTCATATGGAGGGTTACCAATACTGTTTCTGGGCCAGCAAGGATCCTTTCTTCTTTCTATCTACCCTTAGAGATGGCTTTGCTGTTCTCTCTTATGTCCATAAGAAGGTGGTGGGAGGATCTCCAGGCACAGGGATGCTGCTGCTTAATTTAATGTGAACAGTCCACATTGGACGGTTAGCTGCAATGCCATCTTGTACTCTGAAGCTTTCTAGTATATATGGCATACTAGTCTTGTCTTACTGAACCATAGCTTACTGACGGTTGGCTATGAGGTGATTTTTCTTGCCCTGAACTTTGAGCTCCAACTGCTTTTTCCAGGCCCTTCCATCCTATTGATGGAGTAGGTAAGGGTGCAGTGTTGGTATTGAAATACCAAGCCTGGAACCAAGGATGGAAAGGTTTAATCATTTACTTCATGTTTCCTGGTGTCAAAGCAGAAATGAAAGTGAGTTTGAGAAACTGGATTGAAACATTTTAAATGAGAAGAGGAAGTCACATTTTAAAGTTAGGATAATCTGAAAGATTGTGGACAGCACTATACATGTTTGTGCACTTTGTAGTTGGTTAGAAACTCATCCTGTTCTCCGCATGGGTTGTCTGTGTTGACATTCCACTAGTTTTAAGGGAAGCAGGGTAAGTGGAAGGAGATATGAAGGTAAGCTGAAGGGAATGGAGACTCAGCGCGTCAAGAAGACTAACACATGGATTTCCATCCTAAAAGTTTGCTTTATTAACTACTGAAGTGGTACATGCTGACAGTTGTGTCTCAGGTATCTTTTAGAAAGAACAAAAGGTACTTAACATTATTCACACATAGGTAGATTGTTTCCAGTCTCAACCCCTATCATCCAAGATAAACAGAAAATACAGAATTTACTATTATTCATTTTCCTTACGTTTTTCTGAGAACAGGAAAGGTCTTCCTCCAAATTTCAATAAAATTAATGCCATAAAATGCTACACATTTGTTTCAATGATTTCTAATGCTTTTATTTCTAAGTAGTATGACCAGTTGCTTAGTTACTCTAAAAGAATTCATTCTGCAGTTTTAGAGTCAGAAGAACAAACCAATCACTAGTTCTTGACCTTCAACTTAAATGAGAAATGTAAAGACTGTAAAAAGAGGAATGTGGTTCACCTCCACTCTTAACAAGTAATGTATAGTGTGTTCCAAACTTTGAAGCTCCATTTTATCAGTTAGAGACTATTGGATTTTCCCTCACAAATTGGTAGCTTAACAATATTTCTCATTTCATCTATTTAAGAAAATAGCTTCTCTCTAAAAGCTTTCTGGCTGCTAATTGTTGTAGAACAGGCAGAAAGAATTACTCGTGCAAAAATTGGATGTCCAGGCCTAGGCCAGATGCTTCAGCTTGAACAAAGCCTTAGACAAAGGCCTTAACTATTTAGAAATTCTGTGATTCTGATGTTTTATCAGTTCTGGTTTCTTTTATGACCATGGACTACCTAATGAAGCATTTCTATGCCTCATTCTGCTCAGGATCTACAATTTGAAAGCCTTCAGAGACTGAAAAAAATTATAGTCTAACATTTCATAGTCCTTTGGGGAAAAAAGTATATTGCATGTAAATTTAATATGTGGGCATTTAAAATGGGACATTTTTTTGAAATATAATTTCAATGTATTAAATTGATATGGATATAATGTTTAGTTTAGTGTAACTTTTTATCTTTCCCTTTGCTTAGGGCTTTCCTGCTCATGAGTAGTACTCTACAGTTGGGCCATGCCTCCAGTAGACTTTTCTGTCCAAGTTGGTTTTGAACTGCAGTCCTCCAGGTTTTAGTTCTCTGAGTACCTATTGTTGCAGATGTGAACCACTGGTGCCCACTATCTTTTTTTTTTCTGTTACACTTTTTTGGCAACTTTTTTTAAACTCTAAAAAAGAAGGACATTTGGACCCATTTTGGCAGTTGGAGTTAAGTAGATTTATTTACTTGAACATACTTCAGACAATACACTAGTAATATGATCAATTTAATCAAAGCTGAGGATTTTTAAAGTATTTTATTTTAATACTACATAGCTATTCCTATTTAAATATTTTTCATTATCTTTAAGTATGTACAAAGACATTTCAATTCAACATTTTAATTTATTGGTACAATGCATCTTTTTAGTATAATTTTTAAAAATAATCTTTAGATTTACAAAGGAGTTTCAGTTTAACATACCAGTTTATGAATATAATATACCTCGATCAATGTCATCTCTTCCATATATTATTATTATTATTTTTCAAACATAAAAATAATTGCTGGATGCTGGTGGCTTGTGCCTATAATCCTAGCTATTCAGGAGGTTGAGATCTGTGGATCACAGTTCAAAGACAGCCCAGGCAGGAATGTCTAAGACTCATCTCCAATTAAGCATCAAAAAAAAAAAAAAAGGAAAGAAAGAAAGAAAAGAAGGAAGGAAGAAATAAAGAAAGGAAGGAAGGAAGGGCCAGAGCTGGATATAAATGTTCAGGATCAGTGTTCAGTCCCTGAGCTCAAGTTCCAGGACCAACACAATGAATAAATAAATATAAATAAATAAAGATAGTAAAATAAGCTCTCATGTGCTATAGTCCATCTCTGTAGATTATTAACCATCAATTTACATGTGTTAAAGTGCTATAGAATTATACTTAGTGAACAAAAAATATGACTCATTAGTACCATGGAATTTTATGAAAACTCAATGAAATGAGCTCTTGCTTTTAATAGACCAGAAAATGTTCGAACACGTGAAATATTGTAGGTGGAAGTAAATACTTTGATGTACATTTTCATTCCTTATGACGTATATTAAAAGCTTTGAAAGAGGATAAATGACATTAGCCACAACCTCAAAAAAGTTAGTTTAATTTTTGCGGTGGCATTTTCCTATCCCTCAAGACTGAGGAAGCCCAGGAATGAAGAGTGTATTGGAGAACAAAAAGAAATGAAAATCATTATTTCTACTCTTGTTATGATGGGGATATGGAAGTTGAAAGGGGGGACAAACTTTGAACATAGGAAGTTTCTGCTCATTGTCTAAGAAAAGCATTTATGTGAATTATTGAAGAACTTAATTTGGTTATCTATCATTGGATAATCAGCCCCTCCTGTAATGAGCTAACATTTCTGCAAGTCGAGCTGGCTTTGGGTGGGTGCTTTTTCACTAAGGCTTATTGCAGTTAGTGGGATCTGAGTAGGTGCATTACCCTGCTAAGATGACTGTTTTCCATTTAGTCGCAAGAGCTTTTTAAATGTGATTTTCTCTTATTCTGGTGACCTCTACATGAGTTCTCTGCAGTAAGTTAGCTGGACTTCTTAACTTGACATCACAGGGTTCCTAAGCCCCCAACAGAGGCTTCCTGGCCTTTCTAAGACTACTTGGAATTGGCATATTTCCGCCATGTTGTTTTTGTTAGGGGAACTTATAGATCAGCTTAACCTTAAGAGAAATCAGCTGCACAAGAGCTTGAGTAACTGCAATCATGATTCATTCATTGGAAGCCTCCAAGGCCACAGACCACTGTAGGCCTTGTAATATGATATGATTATGTTTAAAATAAAGAAAATAAGTGTATGTGGGAATTAGTGTTCAAGTGGTTTGTTGTAATATGATAGGAGAATTATATCAAATTCATGGTTCTAGAGATAAAATGGAGGTAGGCTACCAAATGGTAGCCTAGGTTTTGGGTATAAGATGTTCAAGTTTACATTACCTAGTTAATATCACCAAGTTTCATCTTGAAAATAAAAAATACTAAACATTAAAACGCTAAATGAACCAGGTGCCAAGACTCATACCTGTAATCCTAGCTACTCAGGAGGCTGAGATCTGAGGATCACAGTTCAGAGCCAGCCTGGCAGGAAAATCCATGAGACTCATCTCCAATTAACTACCAGAAAAACAGACATTGTGCTGTGGCTCAAGTGGTAGAGCACTCACCTTGAGCTGAAGAGCTCAAGGACAGCACCCAAGTCCAGAGTTCAAGTCCCACAACCGACCAAAAAATATACTAAATGAAGATATTCTGATCTTCCAATTGAAAGCCTAGGATTTCTTTTTTGTGTATGCTTTTGGATACGTGAGTAATGGAGATGGGTGAGGGATGTACGGCTTGTTGATTTGGGGCTGTATCCAAGGTGAAGGCTTTCCATGACAACTTTTCCTACGAATGCTTTCAATCAAAGGTGTGTTTTAACCCTTTTAGAGCAATAATCAGATTGAGAAGATCACCGGTTTGGAGAATCTGAAAACCCTGCAGAACCTGGATCTGTCTCACAATCAGATAAGCAGCCTCCAGGGCTTAGAGAACCACGACCTTCTGGAAGTGATAGACCTGGAAGATAACAAGGTAACGGTTTTTGGTTTCCATGTTTGCATTAGAGGACATATTAACATTGGTACCAGTATTCCATTATTGGTTCTCAAGGGCTGTCTCATGAAATGTTAGTCTTTTTCATAAAATTGCCATTCAACACTGATTATTATTATTTTATAAAATATGCTACACAGTATTCTAAATACCTTCCATATCTCATTTAATCCTCATTGTGATATTATTATTGCTGTTTTTTTAAATTATTTTTAAGTTATATTGAAGTAGTTGTACAAAAGGACTTCAATGCAACATATGCATTTATGTGTACAGTGCATCTTGATCAGTGTCACCCCTCCCATTATTCTATTATTGACATTAACGCAGGAAGAAAATGAGGCCTAGAGAAGCAAAGTAACTTTCCTGTAGCTACGCAACTTTGTTACTTAGCAAAAACTAGAGCCAGGATTGAAATAGAGAATGATTTGCCTCCAGAGTCACATGGTACTACAGGAAAATAAAGTTCCACTGGCCCAGCCTTCAGAAATGGGTGTAGTAATGCTTGAGGATAGGACTTTTTTATAGAACTAGAACATAAGGTATAAAATGAGAGCCATAAGCATTATTTAAAATTCTCTGGTAGCTACAATAAAAGGAGAAAGGAAACAGGTGAAATTACCTTTAGTCATATATTTTACTTAACACAATATATCCAAAATACGTATTCAGCACAAAATCTACATAGAAATTATTGAGATATTTTACCTTATATATTTCAGACTGAGTTTTTGATAGGGAGTATGCATTTTACACTTAGCGAACGTCTCACTCCATTCATCTTAGCCCTGCTTCAAGTATGACGTAGGTCCATGTGGGTACTAACTGCCATTTTGGTGAGTGCAGACTAGAAACATCTCATGCTTCTCAACCATGTCAAAAGACTTTTCAGATAACATTTGAAAACAATGAAGAAAAGATATCTTCAAGTGACAACAGGAATATATAGTTTTTAGATGTTACAGAGACTCTGCTCTTTTTTTAAAAAATGGCTGTATGTCCCAAAGGTAATTCCTTTGGCAACTGTTGGGTCTGTGACAATAACATAAACCCCTGGCTCCCCCTGGGCAGGTTGAGGAGCAGCCAGCAGTACTTGGAAATGCTGTTTGAGCCATCTCGAGTCCCTCAGGGATTTCTCTAGGACGACTGAGAATTCTGTGTATCAGGGATGGAAAATTTGTCATGCAAAAAAACCCCAGCATTGCTTCTACTTCTTACCTGACTAATTTGTGATACTACTTCTTATAAGAATTCTTATATGACTTCTACTTCTCATATGATCAATTTGTGTTACTGGTAGCACTTTCATTAATATTCTTTATCTGGATTTTGCTGTTCATGTGTTGTAACTATATGTGATCATTTGAATGTCTGTCATTGGCAAATGTTTAGCGCAACTGGTAATTGGATGGCCTACTTCTCTGAGGCCCTGCTATATTTTCAATCATGCCTAGCACTTAAAAATTAGTCAGAACTCTGTTATAACCTCCACCCTTTCTTCTAGCAGTTGGATATTGGTCTAGGGGTGACTTAGAGATGCTGGGACTTGGTTCTTGTCCCAATACTGTCTCTAAGATCCTTATTGGATCCTGGCTGACACTTCATTTATGATCATGAAAAAAAGATATTTTGAGCCAGGTGCTGGTGGCTCATGCCTGTAATCATAGCTACTCAGGAGGCTGAGATCTGAGGATCACAGTTCAAAGCCAGCCTGAGCAGGAAAGTCTGTGAGACTCTTACCTCCAATTAACCACCAGAAAACTAGAAGTGTCACTGTGGCTCAAGTGATAGAGCTCTGGCCTTGAGCTGAAGAGCAGAGCTCAGAGACAGTGCCCAGGCCCAGAATTCAAGCTCCATGACTGACCAAAAAAAGAAAAAAGAAAAAAAGAAAAAGATATTTTGAGGTAACTAAACACAATCCGAATCTAGAGGCCACTGGTGGAAGTTTATGGAGAATGATGGAGTGTGATCAAGGTTCATCACATGCACATTCGGACATCTCAAAATGAAACTAAAAAGAATATAGGGAAAAATAAAGTCAGCTTGATCTCTTCCTAGATTTACATTTGTTAAGCCTGAAAATAGAGGGATTGAAATAGATGATTGAGGTCCCTGAGGTTGACAGGGTCTGACAGCATTGGGACAAGGCACTCAGGGCTCGAGTGTAGGAGGTGCCACGAGGGTCAGATGGGCTACTGCTGGTCAGTCTCTGTTCCACCTGGATAAGGTACCGCTGCTGTGGGATGCAGATAGAATGGAGGCCTCTTTAGCTCCAGAAGGGCTGGCCATGGTTGGATGGGTGCTTTGTGGTTTCAGCATGCTATAATTTTGAATAATAAGCACTAATGACAAATCAGGCAGGATGGAGGGATAAAGAATACAATAGGTGGACTGAGCTAGGGCAGCTCTCCAGAAGGGAAAAACAACATCGCTTCTCTTAGAAGCTAATTTTGTTACCGTGGCTTGAATTATGCCACCCAAAGACAGAAATGTCCAAGTACTCTCCTGGAACCTTTGAATATCCTCTTGTTTGGAGAAGGAGAAGTTTTTATAGACAAGTCAAGGATCTCAAGATGAGATCAGCTTGGAATTAAGGAGGCCGTAAATTCAGTGTTCTTATAAGAGATAGAAAGGGAACAAAACAGACAGATACAGAGGACAAGATGTGGAGATGTCTTCATTCATTTGAAGATAAACACAGACACTGGGGCTGTGTTGCTAGAAGGCAAGAAATGCCCAGTGCTTCCGGCTGCTGGAAGAGGCATGGAAGGATTCGCCTCTAGAGTCTTCAGAGAGAATGTGGGTGTTAGGAGTCCTTCATCTCAGGTTTAGTTTGTAGCACTGTAAAAGTAAGTTTCTAGTTTGTTGTAGTTTGTTATGGTAGCACTCAGAATCCCATACCCTAGGTGATACAATGTGTCTGGAGAATGGAAAATGGCCTTTTATCATTTCTGCTTTCTTTATGTTTTATTTAGGAAAACTTCTCTAGCTTAAGACTAAATATTTTGTATATATTCTTACCCTTCCAAGTTTTGACTTTTTTTCCTATTTAGTCTTTATCCAATTAAGATTTTTTTTTTTTGGCAAATAAGCTTCTAATTACCATATGGGAAAATTTGTCCCAACATATAAAACAATCTGGCTTAATAGTTTTAAGATATTCTATTAACTGGCTGTGAGGCCTTATTGAGCAATTTATTTATTGAAATTTGTTGCATTTATGACTTCCCGTTAATAATAATGTTGCAATGTATCTTTTTGTGCAAAAATGTTCACATGCATTTTTAACTAGTTTATTAGAGTAAGTTATTGGATATATTGAGCATATCGGTATGGGCATTTTAAAGACTGTTGATGCATTTCTTGAAGGTTCATACTGATTAACTCTCCCTGCAGTTCATGAATTTAGAATACCTTATTGTTAGCACAACCCACTATACCTTTGTCAACCAATATTATTTTAAAATCATATCAGTCTAGTAGAGAAATGGGACTTTGTATTCTATTTTATACAAATCTTATATTATCAGTGAAGTCAGACATTTTTCCTGACTATTTGGTTTCATTTTATAAAATTACCTGTTCATGCCCTCAACTGTCATTTATTTTGTCGTGGTTCTTTTGCTTTTCGTTTTGCTTAAAGTACTTTTGATACACATGTTAAGATAATTTAAATAACTCATAAAATAGCTCATATCTTTATTACTATTGTTATTATTATTGTTGTTGTTGTTTGGTGGTGGTACTAGAGTTTGAACTCAGGGCCTCATGCTCTTGCTCAGTTTTTTTCCCACACATCATTGATACTTTACTGCTTGAGCCATGTCTACACTTCCAACTTTTTGCTGGTTAATTAGACACAATAGTCTCTTGGATTTGTCTGCCTGGGTTAGCTCTGAACCTCAACCCTCAGATCTCAGTTCTCAGCCTCCTGAGTAGATGAGATTACTAGCACATGAGTCACTAGTGCTCAGCTTATTTCAAGACTTTTTTATAAGCTGGGTGATGGTGGCTCATGCCTGTAATCCTAGCTACTCAGGAGGCTGAGATCTGAGGATCACGGTTCAAAGCCAGCCTGGGCAAGGAAAGTCCATGAGACTCTTATCTCCAATAAACCACTAGAAAACCGAAAGTGGCACTGTGGCTCAAGCAGGAGAGCGCTCGTCTTGAGCTGAAGAGCTGAGGGACAGAGCCCAAGCCCAGAGTTCAATCCCCATGACCGACCAAAAAAAAAAAAAACAAAACTTTTTTATAAAGCAATTTCCATTCTGAATCTGACAGATGTTCATCTAAACTCTTCTACTCTTAACCCATAATATATTTTGCATAATAGTTGAAATAATGATTTAAATTGACTTTACCCTAGTATCTAATAGTAATACGATGATACACAGCTACTACTTTTGAGTACTCATTATATCTCCAGCATTCTGTTAAATAATTCCCGTTCATTGACTCATTTAAGCCAGTAGTCCTATTGAATGTTTTTCTTGCTGATTTGTGGCTTACTTTTTTAAAATACAATGTTTTATTGGTCCATCTGTTGATTCTTATTCCAGTAATGCATTGATCATTGTCATCATTATCATATCATCTAGTTGATAGAGCCTCACAGCTTGAGAATGTGGACAGATTTTAATATAATAAGTAGCAGTGGAAAACCATTCTAATAGTTGTACCCAATAGTTTCCATAGAAATATATGTATATATACACATATTTTATATGCATATTAAATTTTTTTAAAGTGAAGGTCTGAACGAGTCCCTTTATATCTGAATAATGACGATTAGAGAGCGTGTTCAGGAAGGAAATGGCAGAAGAGAAGTTAGCAAACTTCCGAGGTCGGAGAGCGGTGACCAGCATTATTAGTTAGGGGTTGCCAGCAGGCCATTTGTGACTGCAGATGGCTGAAGTTCCTTTAGGAATGTAATCTTTTGGGCAATATTTCACTTTCAGACACCTGGGGAGCCATTGTTCCTATGCAGTCTGTAAAAGTCTGTTGCACAGTCTGGAGTTTCTGGCCTGCAGAACAGAAGTCTGCTGAGGAATGAGGATGTGTGGGGGAGGGGGATACTTGAAGGACCACCAGTATCTGTTTGCTAATTCAACAGAGAGCTGCCCTCTTGTCAACCTCATCCTACCTTTGGGAGGAAGAAGAGAGCTGGCTTTGTGATTGACTCTCAAGAACCCATTCATTTGAGTGGACATTTTAGTGGGCATGTAATTTTGTATAGGGCATGATCACATTATAGTCGTGGTATTTGTAACATAGGAGATATTTGCATGTTAATCACCACAATCATCACTATCTTCCAAAATGAATGCATGCTCTTATTACTTAGACAGGACCATGTTTGGGCTGATTTACTCAAATAATGATGGAGTTCTTTGTAAATTGGAAACTTTATTTTTTGCTTTTCTTAATAATATGAGACTGGATTATTTATTGGTTTATTTATTTTTACCAGTCCTGGGACTTGAACTCAGGGCCTGGGCACCATCCCTGAGCCTCTTTGTGCTCAAGGCTAACTCTCTACCACTTGAACCACAGTAGCACTTCTGACTTTTTCTGAATAGTTTATTGAAGATAAGAGACTCACGGATTTTCCTGCTCAGGCTGGCTTCAAACTGCAATCCTCAGGTCTGAGCCTTCTGAGTAGCTAAGATTACAAGGCATAAGCTACCAGCACCTGGCTAGAGAATGAATATTCCTAAATGTAAGTTTTGCCTGTCTGATGATTTGTTTAGTGCACCCCTCTTGAAGTGGGATAATTAGCTCAAATCTTATGCACATGCAACTCCTCTGATTGCCCTTTAGAAAGGATGTACCAATTTCCACTCTTGACAGTAATGTCTGTGGGTACATGTGACCAGACATGGTTGGTGAGACCTAATGAACGAGATGTAAACTTCCCCTGGCTGGCTGCTAGATGGAAAAATCAATCCATTTATCAAAAGTTCTCATGAAAAATAGGAACCAAGTTCATTTTTCTCATTCCTGAATAACACGATTTAAAACAATTGATCTCTTCCTTGTAGATGAACCAGTGGCAGTCTAATTGACCATCTAGTCATCTTGTGGGAAAAGATGTATATAGTACTGTGACACTTTAGCCAGGTTAATGTGTGCCCATTGAGGGTTGCAACTCTCCATATTACATCTTTGAAAATAGAATCTTTGTACATGGTGCTCACATTTATCCCCCAACTTAACTTTGGGACTAATTTGCAGGTTAGCTGTATTTTGTGGCTGGGTATTTCAGGAGTTACTGGTGATCCAGCTGTTGGAATGTATTTATTTACAAGCCTTGCAGTAATTATATGGGGGGAAAGTAGAAATGAAAAAGTTACCTTTTTAAAGTTACCTTATTGTGGAAGTCCAGTAGCTATACCTGAAATAAAATTGTATTTTTGTCAGCTGTAGAAAATTTATTTTATTTACTTATTTTATTATTATTTTGTTGTTGTTGTTGGTCATGGGGTCTGAACTCTGGGCCTGGGTGCTGTCCCTCAGCTCTTCTGCTCAAAGATAGCACTCTACCACTTGAGCCACAGTACCACTTCTGGCTTTTTCTGCTTATGTGGTGCTGAGGAATTGAACCCAGGGCTTCACGCATGCAAGGCAAGCACTCTACCACTGAGCCACCTTCCCAACCCCAAGCTGTAGAAAATTTAAAACTATTGTTCCTTAGTTTGGTGAGGAGTGTAGCAGCCCTGTTGCAATCCAAGCCTTATCCTTAGTTAAATTAAGACAGCCTTTCCGCTCCCTTATTTTAAAAATCACAGCATAGAGCCTGTACAAAAAATGTTTGCACAACATAATTGTACAGTTTAGCAAAAACCAAATAATCAATTCAAACTTGGGCACCCATCAAGCAGAATTACAAGTTTTGATTTTCACCTTTCCTTAAAACAGTTCTCCCTTAGTGAAGGTAGGGGTGAGGTTGGAAGGGATGGGGGAGAATGATGATAGGGTGATGTTTATCAAGTTTTTTCCATAGTATTCATATACTACATTGTTGAATGGCAACTCCTTTGTACAACTACTTAAAGATAAGAATGATTAAAATAAAGATAATTGGTTTGGAAAAAAATTCTCCCTTGTGGAAAAAGTAATAAAGCGCCATATGTCCTGCAGAAGGTGTTATATAGCCAGTCATCTATGAGCAGGGGAGAGTGGCTAGACTGGATAGGGAAATTGCCGGGCAGGGGGGAGAAGGGGGTGCGGGGACAGCTGTGGTTTTACTGTTTCTCTGACTTTATGTGCTATTTTATTTCTTCTTAAACATGGATGACAGGAGAAAGCTTACTATTCTCTAGCCCAAGAGGAGAAAAGAAAACATGACTGTATATGTTCACGTTTATTGAACGGACATATAGTGAGTCCTGTGTTCTGCATAGCATTGTGGATGCCTCAATAAAGAGCTGGATATTCAGCCAAGCAGATTTTTAAAAAGTTGAATTGAAAGGCTCCAACAATACTGGCTCCTATTATATATTGTGTTTCCTTTGTCTTTGTGTGTTGCTTTTGGGTCATTTTTATTTTTATTTTTGAATAAACAGGTTGCTCAACTGAGTGAAATAGAATACATTGAAAATCTTCCTATCCTTCGAGTTCTCAATCTTCTTAGAAATCCAATTCAGGTGAGAGGTTGTTTACATTACAGGAGGGGTTTCTCTTTATATTCTCTCTCTTTCTCCCTCTCTGTCTCTCTCTGAATGATTACAAGGAGTAAGTAAAGCAGCAAGTTAACTTATTGGTGTTGGTGTTTTCTAAATAAGATCTTTCGTGATTAATAAGCTGTTGCTCCACTGTCAGTACAGGTAAAACCTGGAATCAAGTGTCATTTGCTTGCTCTGCAAGGTCATTCATGATGCATCCTGGGCAGCAAGAAAGATGACAGGAGAGAATGCAGGAGATTGCAGAGGGACCTTCCTCCGTGGTAGAGAATCCAAGACACCAAAAGTGTAGATAAAATATGCTTCCTATTTTAGAACAAGAGAGAATAGTTAAGCTTAGATCCTTAATTTGCCTGGATATAGCCATGAAACTAGCAGGGGAATAAAATAATTAGGGTTTCTTAAGCTCTGGGGTTTAAAGATCAGGGAGAGTTTTTCAGGTTTCTCTCTCTCCCCCCTCCATTGATAAATTCATTGTCTTGACTCTTTCCCTAACCTCTTTGTCCATCTGCCCGTTCTGTTTCTTTCAAGGAAGTATATATCTCTGGGTACCATTTCTGTGTATTTTAATGAATATGAATAGGTCTAGACAAGTGAATAAAGAAAATGAGAAAGTTTAAAAAAGCAACACAGGTGTGGGAACAGTGACAGATAACTCAGAATCCTCTGTGGGAAGTGGGGCTTCAAGTGGCCATTACATCCTAGTTTCCCTGGAAAGTGTGTATACATGCGCACCGACAATGATCACAGACCTTTTCATGCATGCTGTTACATGTAAAAGGACATGGGAGAAACTTAAATTTTTTAAATTGGCATAAGTGGACAAGCTAAGTGGTATAAGAGTCAATCAGTGGTATAAGATTATAAGATTTATGGGGTACAGTGTGATAATTTTGTACATGGATACAAATCAGGGTAGTTAGCATGTCTAGCTCCCTGTATATATTGGGAACCTAAGTGAAAGATAATTCTGTGTGTTCATTTCATATACATCTTCATCCCTGAAAGGCGTCATCTACTAATACTTTGCCTTTCAGAAAGATGTAGTTTCTTGTGTGAAAAACTCAATTACAGAGAAAATCCATGTGCAGCAGATGGCAGGGAGTAATAATACATTTGTGAATGTTATTTTATTACTGTACAGCAAATTCCTAATGAATAACATAAATCAACACAAAGGAACACAAATAATAAGAACATAATAAGAACTGATGGAAAAAAATACATTTCCAGTAATGAAACTCTTTGGAGTTAGAAGTTAGGGTCTCAAGAATCTTTGATGAGATATTTCACTCCTCTGAGGCTTGTTTTCTCTCTTTAGAAATTCAGATCATCCTACCAGCTCTGCTTTATCTCACAGGGAGATTAATAAGATCTCCGCATTTCAAGAGCTTTAGAAATTGTAAGGCACTGCCTGCCCCCGAGTGGCTAATACAAAAGGGCTGGCAGGTGTGGGAGCGTGGGAATGACAGTGGTTCACCAGGGCCTGTTACAGTCAAATGTTGGCCCTTGCTGATTTGGGGAAATGATGGAAGTTAAGTATTCCTCCTATTCTTTTAAATAGGAAAAAACTGAATACTGGTTGTTCGTAATATTTATGCTGCTGCAATTAACAGAATTAGATCAGAAGAAGATTCAAGTGGAAGAAAAGGTATGTAATGGTATCGCCTCATGTATTTACGGGTTAATATGCTCAGAGATATCTGCTGGTTGCAGAAGCCAGATAGTCACAGCATCCAGATGCATGCATTAGGTAAAAGGATTCTTTATTTGGGGGCTGTTTCCTTGTCCTTGGATATGTCAGATGAACCCTCTGTGAAGCTGAGCATCAGCCACGTATTGGCAGGTGCGCCACTGGGACAGTAAAAGTGTGCTAAGGAAGGGCACAGACGCGCTTCTACCTAGCTATGCCACTAGTGCAACCTTGCGCTTTGCACTGTCAATGAAGACGGGATGTGAGCTCTCTCTGTGTTATTCTAAGATGTAGCAGTAAGAGAAAATCTAATGTCATTCCACATCATTGACAAATACTCAAAAAGTTACTACTCTGGTGTTCAAATTCCTTTTGTTTTGCTCTTCAAAATAAGTATTCATCTGGTCACACAATCCCAGAGAAACTAGACTTTGAATGTTAGCACCTGCCTCTGTCTCTACCATAGCAGTGGTAGAATTCTCCACTAATGAGAGATTTCTGACACAGGATGCAAATTCACCGGGGGAAGGAAACCAGGTATATAAATAGGCAGAGAGACGCATAGTCTTTCTCACAAATGCCTTTCTGCAGCCCAGACTAATAATAGTCACAGGGGCTCCCCTATTATTATTCTCACACTTGAAGACACTTAGTGGATTTTTTTCTTTGCCTTTAGCATTTTGCAAGTAAAATTTAAAACCATGCATGCACTTGGGGTGTGGTCAGGAGGGGAGTGTATGTAGAAGGATGGACAAAATAGAAAAGTGTACAGTTCAGTGGAAAACTTGGACTAGAAGAAGAGGGTCAGGTAGGATGTGAGAACAGCTGAGAGGGCCTGAGGGGGGAGATTGCCTGGTATCATCTACCTAGAGTCCATCTAGAACAGCTGAGAGGGCCTGAGCGGGGAGATTGCCTGGTATCATCTACCTAGAGTCCATCTAGAACCGTGACTTTTATTCCTCCTTCGCATGCCAAAAGCTGAAGTGTTTATTATAGTAAAAGTAATAATAAACTTTAGAGGGTTTTCATTTATTTTGTTTTTTCTTTCACGTAAACCAAGGAATATACAGAAGTACATCAAAGAACTCCACTTGATTTTTGTTTTGTTTTGTTTTTGTGCCAGTGCTGGGGCTTGAACTCAAAGCCTGGGTGCTGTCTCTGAGCTTTATTGCTCAAGGCTAGTGCTCTACCATTTCATTGTAGCTCTACTTCTGGCTTTTTCGGGTGGTTAATTGGAGTGGTTAATTGGAGCTAAGATTCTCATGGACTTTCTTGTCCAGGCTGGCTTCAAACTATGATCCTCAGGTCCTCCAGAGTAGCTAGGATTACAGGTGTGATATACCAGTACCCAGCATCCATATATTGATATTTAAAAAATATCATTATTGAATTATGGGGTGGAGTTGATACAAAGACCAAATGCAAAGGTTCATGGGCACATGGTCAGTTATTTTTTAAATTTTTATTTATTTATATATTTAGTTTGTCAGTTGTGGGGCATGAACTCTGGGCCTGAGTGCTGTCCTTGCACTCTTCAGCTCCAGGCGAGTGCTCTGCCTCTTGAGCCACAACACCACTTCTGGGTATTCTGAATGGTTTATTGTAGATAAGAGTCTCATGGACTTTCCTGCCCCAACTGGCTTTGAACCATGATCCTCAGATCTCAGCCTCCTGAGTAGCTAGGATTACAGGTGTGAGCCACTGGCACACAGCATGTCAATTAATTTTTTATACCTGGTTGCAGGTCTAGAAAGTGTCACTAAAGAAAATGAAAGCCTTGTCTTTATTTTGGAAATAGAGCATTCCCCCCTTTTCCTCCTCTTTTTGCTTCTGGAAAAGGTTTCTGCAGTGAACAAATATGACCCTCCCCCTGAAGTGGTGGCAGCTCGCGATCACCTGACCAACGTTGTCAACAGTATGATGCAGCCACAGAGGATCTTCCACAGGTACTTAGTAAGACTCCCCAGGACAGAGCTCAGCAGGCTGGCAGAAGACTGCACCATATTCCTTAGCCCCGTGTTTTGTGACCCCTTCAATTCCCTATAATTGTCACTTCCTCGGCTTCTCTGAGGGAGGACGGCCAAGTGTCAGCGATGGCCCGTTATCTCCCCCTAGAACGTCCTGCTCACTGGGTGTTCCCCCAAGCTCAGAGATGAGTTGTTTCCACTCTTTCATCTGGCCCTGGTCTGTTGGTTAGCCTGCGCCAGTGACAGCGAGATGGAAAGCAAAGTTTGTCAACTTTCCTGCCTTAGGATAGAAACACAAACCTTAATCTCATTAACAGGAAATTATGGTCATGTATATCCATTGTAAATCTTTCCTTAGCTGGGAGGGATTCTAAATACTCCTGCCAAAGTGCATCACACAAATCGAAATTATTAGGGAGTCCCTGGAAGGAAGCGCAGCCTCCTTTGCACTGAGCTGTGATCAGCCCAGCAGGGAGAAATCGCCCAGCTTGGCTGCACACACGAATAGTCTCTCACCTCTAAATTTGAAGACAGATCTACCGTGGGCTCTCCATTTCTTCTTAAACAATCTGTTGGAGCAGATGGCCATTTACGCTATAAGTATAATGCAGAAATTCTATCAATACCCAAAGGCATTAAAAAAAAAATCCCTGGAAAACTCACAGATAAAAATGGCTTCTCTCCTTCATGTGGTATTTGCTCCTCTACCTTTACATGCTTTGCCTCCTATAGACAGCAACATGTTTTCTTTTGTGACCCAAGACATAAGTTTTGGTGGTTTGTTTGTTTTTACACATAATTGAATAATATAGACATCAACAGTTTTCTGTTTATGGGATCCCTTCAGTTGAAATGATTTATCATTTATTTGCATACATCTGGAAAAGTACATTTGATTTGAAAGAAGGTTGTGTATGTCCTCATTGTATTTCCTTCCTAGTTTATAATATTGTAAATTGTTCCATGCTGTAGGGTACATGTGTATGAAAACATATACCAAAAGAATTTATAGCAGTGTTTGACAAACAACATTCCTCCCTCAAGTTGGCTGAATTATGTATACCCTGACTGTCCCCTGGGCTGGCAGGATTGAGGGGGAAGATTCCTTAATTGAAAGCCACTTTGGCCTGGCAGTCGTGAATAGCTTCCTATACTTCCTTATATTTCCCCAGGTTCATCTTGACGTAGTCCTATCCCAAATCAGGAATTAGTCAATTCTCCAAGGTGCCCTAACCTTAGCAATAAATGTTATTTGCAAGTCTCGATCTAGGTAATACTCATTTCTATTGGATTGGTCCTGCTTTCTAGGTCTTTTAGTGGGAAAAGCCAGAAGTAGTCTTTCAAGGAGTGGTTGTTTGGCAATCAATGGAAGGGCATCTGGGCTGATTCACTTCTGATTGACCCTACCAAAGTGGCTGTGAACATTGATGAGCAGATGTTTGCACATGTACAGTTTCATTTTGTCGGCCTCTGGCAGGTGTCCAGTGGTTGTCTGGGAGTTGCCTGTCCTCAGCTCTGTCAGATGCCACCCCACTGGTCCCTTCCTCACCCTGCACAGACTCCAGTACCACACAGGCATGTGGGCTTGTCCACATGGAGATGAAGACAAATGTGAGCTGTTAAACATAGATAGTCTTCTGTTATAATGTTTTTCATGAGCCTTTGCTCACAAGTGTTTCTTGGTTTGCCACAGGCATTTTACAGAGATCAAAAGAACATATTATTTCTTAGTATTTACTGCAGTTATACCTCAGCCATGTATGTAAAAATATTTTTTTTTTTTGGTCCGGTCGTGGGCCTGAACTCTGGGCCTGGGCGCTGTCCCTCAACTCTTCAGCTCAAGGCTAGCGCTCTACCACTTGAGCCATAGCGCTACTTCCGGCTTTTTTCTTTTTGCTTATGTGGTGCTGAGGAATCAAACCCAGGGCCTCATGCATGCAAGGCAAGCACTTTACCACTGAGCCACCTTCCCAGCCCTGTAAAAATATTTTTATTTTATTCTACAACTCTGCAGTTGGTTTTATGAGCAGAGTTGAAAGCATATCAGCTCAGCATGTTATAGGCAATTTTCACTAATACATTTATTCTTGAAGTTGGGGATTTGGCTCAGTGAAAGAGTACTTGCCAGCAAGTCCAAGGCCTGAGTTTGAACCTCAGCTCTGCAAAAAAATAAATAAATAAATACAGGCATACATACATACATACATACATTCTTTAGTTTGAACTTAGGGCCTAGGAACCAAACTTAGAATTACATATTAACTCTTCTCTTCCTAATTAACTGATTAGCTAATTAGCCCATCCATACTTCAGTTTTTTAAGATTCCTTAGCTTCATGTAAGAATAAGGGCATAAATATCAAACTTCTAGAACATGCTTGGTATGTGCTGATTGCTTAGAAAAATTTTTGTCACTCCATGAAGTTTGCTTTGGCTACTTGTTGTCTAACTCAGTAGGTATAACTGTTAAACTCAGAGTACAGTTACTTTTTTTTTTTGATGGTTCTGGGGCTTGAACTCAGGGCCTTGGACTTGCTGACAAGTACTCTTCCTAATCCTGAGCTTCTTTGTGCTCAAGGCTAGAGCTCTACCACTTGAGCCACAGCACCACTTCCAGCTTTTTCTGAGTGAGATAAGTCTCACAGACTTTTCTCTCTGGGCTGGCTTTGAACTGCGATCCTCATATCTCAGCCCCCTGAGTAGGTAGGATTACAGCTGTGAGCCACTGGTTCCTAGCTCAGTTACCCATATCTTCCTTTCTCCCCTCCCTTCCTTCCTCCCTTCCTCCCTTCCTTCCTCCCTTCCTCCCTCCCTCCCTCCCTCCCTTCCTTCCTTCCTTCTTTTCCTTCCTTCCTTCCTTCTGTTCTTTCGTTCTTTCTTTTTCTGTTGTGGGGCCTGAATTCTGGGCCTGGGCACTATCCCTCAGCTCTTCAGCTCAAGGCTAGTGCTCTACCACTTGAGCCACAGCCCCACTTTCAGCTTTTTTCTGCTTACGTGGTGCTGAGGAATGGAACCCAGTGCCTCATACGAGGCAAGCACTCTACCACTGAGCCACCTTCCTAGCCGAGTTGCCCCTTTCATTGTTGTTAAGTTCTGGGAGGAGTATGTTAGCAGGTAAAAACCAATGTATCTTACTATATTATTTTTCTTAGAAAAATCTTGGTAGAATAAATTTACATAAATTTGTATTTTATCTTATTTGTTAGCCATGTTTCAAATATTATTTTTAGTATCCTATAATCTCTTTGTTTTTGCAACATAGTGCCATCTTCTTACAGAGTCTATATTTAACAGATGCTTGTTAATTACAATCATGACACAGAAACTACCGAGTGGCTTTAGTTAATACACTGCCTCTCTGACAGCGCCAGGACAGTAATTCCCTGTGGTCTTGTGTCGTAGCACTCTTCCCAGTCTGGATGCCCCTTACCCTATGTTGATACTAGCTGGACCCCAAGCCTGTGGGAAACGAGAGCTTGCCCACCGCCTCTGCCGACAATTTAATGCTTTCTTCAGATATGGGTAAGTGTGCTTATTGGCTGTGCGTTTGTTCACTTGCAATTGTTGCTGCATGTATCAATGGTTCTTGTCTACTAAATTCTCAGATATTGTTCATTTGGGGTGCTCCTTTTAAGCCAGCTTGTAAGTGTACACAACAGCTTAATCATGTTTTCTACAGCAAGGCCAGAGTGGTAAGTAAATTGAGTGTTCAATAGATCCGGGAAGTTCTGGCAAGGACAGGAGACCTCGGGAGTATTAGTCCTTGAAGGTAATTTATTGATAAAATTGGATCAATGTGATTACTGGGTTTGGGAATGATTTTAAAATCTTGATTCTCATGCCATCCTAATTGATGAAGTAGAAATGATTGTTAACAGATGCTCCTAGTGACAAAAGAGCTTAACAAGAGCAAGAAGAAACAAAAAAAAAGTTGTCTTTTTTGAAATAATATTAAACAATTGGCAGTGAACACTCCCTGAAACAAGGTTTGGTGCACCTATGCCATTACACACCTTTTCTGCATAAGGCCTGTTATACTATATAACATCCAGTGCATTTGTGTTATTATTGGTGGTAGTAGTAGTAGGCCTTGAACTCAGGGTCTGGGTGCTATCCCTGAACTCTTTTGCTTAAAGCTAGTGCTCTAACATTTTGAGCCACAGTGCCACTTCCAGTTTTGTGGTGGTTAATTTGAGATAAGAATCGCACCAACTTTGCTGCCTAGGCTGGCTTAGAACCTTGATCCTCAGATCTCAGCCTCCTGAGTAGCTAGGATAATAGGTGTGAGCCACCAGTGCCAGGCATGAATTTTATTTGTACTTTAAATCTCTATATGTTTAACTTAACCTAGTCTCCAGGATCTTAAAAATCTGAGCTTTTTAATTGAAGCAGAATTAGAAGGTAGGATTCTCCTGTGAGCAGGTGGTTTGGCAGTGTGGCACCACGTCATGGTGTTGACAAGTGACTCTCCTGGGATCTGCTTGGGCTACAGGCTGGCAGGACTTAAGCTTCTGAGTCTCCAGGCAGGTCCTCCTCTTTCAAGGCCCATTTCAGCTGGAAGAAAGGAGGGGCAGCAAAAGTATTTCTGGTTGTTTCTTACAGGTTAGCACTCAATACACTCAAGAGTTTCCTGAAGCGAGAATTTTTTGGTGTGTAACTTCATAATGGCCATTACAACAGAGAATTGCATCTGAAAAATTAGAACCATCCAAGAAAATCATCTTCTTGGATTTATAGGTTACTTTAGAAGGTTTTTTTAAGCTGATTTTGTTTCATTATGTATAGCAAAGGAATTACTTGTACATTAGAAGTGTCTGTCAATGAACTGAGGATGTGACTACCAAGATACGTCAGGCAGCAGGAAAGTAAATGCCAGTTATTTTTCTAACATCATTACAGAAAAAGTGCCTTCCTTTAAGCTATGAATGTTCAAACAGTGTAAATGTGGTCTTAAACAGGCCCACTTACTTAGGTATCTAAAATTGCAAGCCACATTTTGGACAACTCTGGGACACAGAGTTATTCCTGTAGAATAATTTGATTAATATAGTTTAAATGCTGTGAAATAATGAACATAGTTAATAGTAGAATTAAACAGTATAGTGGCATCATGCTCACCTGAGGGGATTCAACCTGTTTTAAAAGATAAGCTGAGCACAGTGACTGGAAGGTCAAACGCAGGGGGCGAAGGGGAGTCGGTCACTATGGTGCTAAAGTGTAATTGTGGAGACAGTGTGACCTCAGGAGCCAAGGCTTTCTCTGGTTTCTTTCACAACTCTCATACCAATTATGATGCTAACAGCTGGTCTCCTGGTCATTTTATTTGTTGATAAATGTTCCTGCTAAGGCATGGTTGGTTCTATGTGTTCTTGGAGAGAGAGAGAGAGAGACAGAGAGAGAGGGAGAGAGAGAGGGAGAGGAAGAAGGAGGAGGAGGAAGAGGAAGAGGAGGGAGAGAGGAGAGAGTGAGGAGAGGGGAGGGAGAGGGAGAAGGAGAGAGAGGTGGTGGTATGCTGGAGCTTGAACTCAGAGCTTTGTGTTTGCTATACAGATACTCTATTGCTTGAGCCATGTTTTCAGCCCATTTTGTTGTGGTAGATTTTGAGATAGGGTCTGGAGTTTTTGCCTGGTTTGGTCGGTTCTCCTCTCCTTCCATTTGTGCTTCCTGCCACAACTAGGATGAGCAGTGCAAGCCACCATACCCAGCTTTTTCTTTTGAGATTGGGTCTTGTTTCCTGGGTTGTCCTGGAATGGTGATCTTCCCAGTCTCAGCCTCCTGCATAGCAGAGATGGCAGGCATGAGCCACCGTATCCAGGTATTGATTGAGGGGGACTCTCCCAAACTTTTTGCCCAAACTGTCCTGGAACCACAGACCTCCTGATTTCTGCTTCCTGAGTAGCTTAGACCACCAGTGTTCCACCGTCTTGCAGCTCTTTATTGACTTAAAATCGAGAAGCCATCCAGTCTTTCCCCATATTCTTATCTGAGTAAACTCCACTCATGTTCACCAAATCCTGTATTTCCTTTATCTATTCTTCCTTTCTCCTCCTCATATTTTAATTGGTTCATTCTATGTTTGTCTTTCCTGCTTGTCTATAAAACCAATGAAAACAGGAATCATGTCAACTTTTTTCACCAGTGAGTTTTCAGTGCCCAATACATGGCCAGGTGCTTAATGCATGTGTGGTAAATACTCCTCACATGACTTAACTTATTAATCAAGTGAGTGGACGATTGAATTAATGGTAATGTATGAACATTTAGTGGAAATGACCATGATTTTCCTGATGCATAGATGGAGAAATGAATGAATTAATATCCATCCAACAATGTATGGATATAAATTCATCCTGTCATGTGCTAGTCCCTGAGGTTATGTGGGAAGAGGACGATAGAGGTACTTTGCCTTCATGATAGTTGTAGCCCACGGCAAATTTTGATACAGATAATTAAGGCTGGGTAAAAGTTGTGTGTAAGCCTGAGATGAAGCGAAAAGTCCTAACGTGAACCTCATGTCTTAGACTGCTCGTGCTGTTACCGTGACTTTTTCCTTCTGGCTGGAATCAGTGGCAGATGGAACACTCACCTCCTACCAACTGCATCTTTACTCCCCTCACTCAGGTTTAGAAGCACTGACCAGCCATGCATGGTCATCTGAGCAGAGGGAGAGACCTGGGCTTTTACAGCCATAAATCATCTCGGAAGTCCATCAAGGCCTGAATCTAAATCCAGTCATTGGATTTTTTTAAAGGGGAATTAGATGATGAGTAATTTCATCCATTGAGAAAGTAAGATAGCCCTGCCATTATTATAGGCAGCATCTTTATAATTAAAAACTAAAGATAAAACCCAAAAAAAGTCTTCAGGGACACGCATGGCTCTTGGTTATATTTCCTTCTCCTTTATTCTTTATCCAACATGAGTTTTATCGATTTTTTTTAATGACATGAGAGCATGTACAAGTACAGTCTGATGGTGACACATAAAAGCATTTACAAAAGTGCATTCCCTGCTGTCTCTTTGAGTCTTTTATCCCCCCCCACACACACACTTCATATCATCTTTTCCTGACATTGTACTTCCCTTCACCCAAGATGAGATATTCTGTGCAATTTTCATGTGCTAATTTCCATGTCAAGACATATATGGGGTGTGACACAAGTAGTGTATGGCTAAATGATTTTGCTCTGGTTTTAGGTGCTCATTTTGCTGGGTTTAGACATAGGTTGGCTGTTCTTTCTTTAATCTGTGTTGATTACAAATGGTCTAAAGATATAAATTTACTGCTGTCAAAGTCTGTTTATTTGTGCTTTATATTACCAAACAAATCAATAATTTTGTGGACAAGTGCTGGATAATGAGGGAATTACAAAATAATACTAGCATGCCTCTTTACCTTCCAGATTTATGGCCATTCTAATGATTTTAATAGACCCAAAAGAAAACCCTAATATTCTCTCTCTCTCTCTCTCTCTCTCTCTCCCTCTCTCCTTCCCCTCCTCCCTCCCTCCCTCCCTGTCCTGGAGTTTGAATTCAAGGGCCTGAGCTCCTTTTGCTCAAGGTTAGTGTTCAACAACTTTGAGCCACAGCTCCACTGGGGAACTTTTGGGGCTTAACTGGAGATAAGAGTCTCATGGGGACTTTTCTGCCCAGGTTGACTTTCAACTGTGATCCTCAGATCTCAGCCTCTTAAGTAGCTAGGATTATGGGCCTGAGCCACCATCTTTCTTATACCTCTCTGTTTTATAGTGGTCTCTGTTGTCACAACCTTCTTATGACATAGACCGCAAAATATATTTTGCACTTAGCATCATGGTAAAACAAGACCATAGCTGTTTACCTGCATGAGAAGGTATGCGCTCAAGCAGACTAAACCCAATGAATCCATTTATCTAATGAATCCATTTATCCCAATGTAACAAACTTGTAGAATGATTCATTTATTCACTCAGTGTTTAGCCTGGTCCACATGCTGGTAATGAACAGACACGGTCTTGTTCTCCTGGCAGGCTACAATCAAGCTACTATGAGATTATCCAACAAGATAACTTGGTGTGGGCTCTTATGAGGGAAGTAAAAAGCCTGTAATAGAACTCAAAGCAAAGTGGAGGTGATCTAAGGGCCAAACTCTCCCTGCAGAGAGAACAGTAGGAAAGTTTCGTTCAATGCAAGTGTAAAAGTGCCTTGCAGTATAAACTAGAGACTCAATCTGTAGAAGGAGATGGGCAAAAGACAAGACTGGAAACATAGACAGGGGTTTGATCACAAACGGGTCATAAGAAGGAAATGAAGTGATTCCAGTTGTATGTTAGAAAACACACCTGGTGGTCAGTTTGGAACAGGGCTTGGGGAAGAAAGGCTGCCGGCAAGAAGACTAGTTTGAATATAGTGACAAGGGGAAGATGTGTGGTCACTGGAACATGGGCAGAGTAGTGAATGCACCAGTTCCAACATTCTGACACACAGAGTGGTGCTGGAATCCCTTATATTCATGATCCTTTAAATTGTACAATTATTGACATGTATTTGCCTTGAGTGATAAGAGCAATGTAATTTACCTGTCTAGTACTCTAGGAATACTTAGGCTTTGGTGGGTACCCATCGAAAGAGTTTACTTAACAACATAGCTTGCTGTAATATCCTTGAATTCAGATGTCCTCACAGCCAATCCCCTGCCTGAACGAGAAGTTCATGATTTCCTGAGTCAGTCTGGTCCAGAATTGAGATTCTAAATCTGTGTGCTTTGGAGTCACAATTGTAGGGATGCGCTTCTGCTCGCTCTTAGACATCCTTCTTCCTATTGCTTTTTTCTTGGATATTTAAGTATTCCGTTGCTTGTCCTGGCCTTCTAGATTCCTTTTCCTCTGGATTGTCTCCTGTCCATGGACTTGGTGAATTAGCAAACTTCCTCCCTCTTAGACTTTTATAACTAGTCTAAAGTTTGTGTCCAAGTTAATACTTACATTTGTTAAGTACAACTAACAGGCAAGTTGAGTATAATGATTTAGCTAGTTAATGGATTAGTAAACAATAAACTCATAGAAAAACTTCAGTAAAGAGAAGGATCTTGAAAGTGCTGGCCCAAGCAAAGTTGTTTGTATAATTTTGACAATTTTTTTTCTAAGTGTGGTGAAACATTACCTTAATTTTTCCTTTTTTTTTTTTTTTTTTGTCATGGAGCTTGAACTCTGGGCTTGGGCGCTGTCCCTGGGCTCTTTAGCTCAAGGCGAGCACTCTACCTCTTGAGCCACAGCACCACTTCCGGTTTTCTAGTGGTTTATTGGAGATAAGAGTCTTACGGGCTTTCCTGTCAGGGCTGGCTTTGAACCATGATCCTCAGATCTCAACCTCCTGGGTAGCTAGGATTATAGGCATGAGCCACCAGTGCCAGCTTACCTTAATTATTATGAAATATTTCCTTTTTAAGATGGTCAAATTTCAGCAGCATACAGCTGACATTTTCACATGTGAAAATTGGATGACAGTTCAAAAACCCATAAGTCATCTTAAGTCCTTCCTATTAGAAAGTTCCCCAGCCATTGCAAGTGTTACCCTCATTCACTTCCACTCCTTCAGTACAGCCATCTCTATCTGCCTGTCCACATGCTTCACATTGCTTCTTTGTTTTACCTTCTTTTTAGAAATTCTGAAGAAAAAAAAATCTCTGCCACTCAGTCCCTTTGTTGGGAAGTGTTAATTCAGTGTAGCATGGAAAGACCCTTCTAAAGGTTTTCAATCAGGGTGCCAGGGCACCAGTTTATCTCTTGTGACTGTCAAGGACACCAGTAGATAGGAGTCTGAGGTCTCTGCCAAGGCATGAGGAGAAATGCCAGTGAGTTCCAACAGCAAAACAAATATTGCAGTATCTTGACAGTCTTCTCTTAGAAAGTATATTCCTTTCTGAGTGGACAATTTCAATGTCATGTGAAGACCTTAAAATTACCCAGGACAGTTAATTCTTGATTACAGTAGAAAGGGAACATAACTAAAGACTTAAAAAAATAGAAAGGGAACAGCTGCATGAACTATAAATATTAATAGGCCTTGGCTCTGTAGTGAAGAGACTTTTGAGGTTGCAGCTTAATTCTTTTAGTTGAAAGGGCTGACACTGGATTCATCTAGATGTTGCTACTTCTTAACATACCTGGGTGCTGTAACTTAGTTTCATCATCTATAAAACAGAAATAAGAAGTAATACCAGACTCATATTTTTTGTGTGGAATAAAATGAAAGTTATCAGTCAAGCTTAGCTAGCCTCATCTCAAATTTTAAAACAATAGGATAATATCCAAAAGAATCAGTTAGCATTCCTAGAACTGGAAACAGGAAGGCAGAATAATATAAAATCAAGAGTCCCAGGGAAAGCCAGCAGTTGATGACTCATAACTATAATCCTCGCTACTTAGGAGGCTGAGATCTATGGAATGAGGTTCAAAACCAGCCTGAGGAGGAAAGTCCACCAGACTCTTCTGTCCAGTTAACTTAACAAAAAGCCAGAAGTAGAGGCATGGCTCAAATGGTAAAACATCACACTTGACAAAAGTGCCAAGTGAGAATGCAGAGCCTTTAGGTCCTGGCATGCATGTGCATACACACTTGTATACACACACACACACACACACAACTCATCGGGTGTTGGAAACCCTATATTCTGGTTCTGGGATCTTGGACAAGTCCCTCTATGCAGCTGTTACCACTTTACTTTTCCTTGAATTTACAAATATTCAGTGAAGGCCCCTATATGCTAGCCTTGGGAAAGAACAATGAGCAAGGCAGAGTCCTTCCACGTTGCTGGGGAAGACGGGAGAAACCAGACAGCACTAGGAAGGCAGACAGGCGTCTGGTGGGTGAATAGCCCGGACGGTGTGGGTGGGGACGCCTCTTCAGACCTCTGCGGGTGGGGACGCCTCTTCAGATCTCTGCGGGTGAGTTGAGCTCTCCACTCTGCACGGGACCCCTGGATCCCCATGCGAGGCCCCTACACAATACTGGCATTGGCCTGCAGGCCGGGTGAATAACATGTTTCCTCCTCAAGAGGGGGATGAGATGGGACCCTGAGAAGAGAATTGGGAAGCAGTTGTGCACGCCAAGGCTAGGAAAGTATAAAGAGGTACATCATTCCCCAAAGGAGGTTAAGAAAAGCACTGGGGTGGGCAACCAGGTGGAACAGAGGAGGCAGCCTACCAGAAGTGCTCATCAAGCACCAAAAACTGGAAAGCAGTTAGGTGAGTAATCAACAACATTATACTTCCTCAAGGATGACAATGTGATGGCAGAGGGGGTGGCTCAGAAGCAAATAGAAACGTGGCACTGATAAGCCAACGTGTGTGTGTGTGTGCGCGCGCGTGTGTATGTGTGTGTGTGTGTGAGAGAGAGAGAGAGAGAGAGAGATCGAGAGAGAGAGATCAGAGAGAGAGATCCTTATAGACTCTGCTGATTAAATGTTTCCACAGCCGGGCGGGCGCCAGTGGCTTATGCCTGTATTCCTAGCTACTCAGGAGGCTGAGATCTGATGATCTCGGTTCAAAGCCATCCCGGGCAGGAAAGTCCATGAGACTCTTATCTCCAATAAACCACTAGAAAACCAGAAGTGGTGCTGTGGCTCAAGTGGTAGAGCGCTCGCCTTGAGCTGAAGAGCTCAGGGATAGCACCCAAGCCCAGAGTTCAAGCCCCATGACCAACCAAAAAAAAAAATGTTTCCACAATTATGTAACGTTATGACCCCTGGATCATCTTCACTGGTTACACATTCTTTATCCTGAAAGCCTTTCCATTTTTGAATGTCAAGTTCATAGAAATCGACAAGGTTGTCTGTTTTGTGATTTCAGGCCTTGCCATACCACACGACCTCCGTATTTTGGAGAAGGGGATCGGGTTGATTATCATTTTATCTCTCAAGAGGTTTTTGATGAAATGCTAAACATGGTAAGAATGTTGTATTTTTACTGCATAAACAGTTCCTACTCTCTGTCAACAATATTAGGAAATAGTGGTTTTGAAAAGAGGGAAAAATAAACCAGGTGTGGTGGCTCACAGCTGTAATCCCAATTAACCAAGAGATGGAGATAAGGAAGTTCAAAGATCAAAGCCATACTGGGCAAAAAGTTAGCAAGGTTGTACATTCCTGTAATACTAACTATGTAAATAGGAAGATCATTGTCCAAGCCAGCCTGGGCATAAACATGAGACCCTATATAAAATAAAACAATTGCAAACGGAGATAGAGTTACATCTCAAGTTTAGAGCACCTAGGTAGCAAGCACAAAGCTTTGAGTTCAACCCCCATTACCACCTCCTGCAAAGGGAAAAATGAAAATTTTGTGTTCTAAAGATCCTTCAACTTGAATGCATTTTTTTACTGAAACGCTGGTCATCTAGTCAGTGGTAGCACCCAGTGTTTCCACCTTCAGATCCATTTTCACAAAACAATTTCTATGTTGCCTTTTGATTTTCATATGCTAACAGAATCCTGTCAGCCCTGTTGAAAGTTCATGCTGATGTCAATACATACCATGCATGACCCTAGCTCAGAGAATCTCTTATCATCATTTACACTAATGAATTAGTGAGGCTTTTGCTTTTTTCTTTACCATGAACTTCATTATCTTTGTTTATATTACTGCTCTTTATTATCAGCATACATTAGTCATACAGGATAGAATTTCATTGTGACATTTCTCCGTGTGCATACTATATATTCCAGTCAATCTAATTCCTTTGCCTTCTTTCTAAAACAATTTTAACAGGTTTGATTATTCTATTTTCAACATGCAAACAATCTACTGTCACTGTATACTTCTTTCGTTCACTCCTGAATTTAGGGCCTGAGTACTATCTACCACTTGAACCACAGCTCTACTTCTGGGTTTTTTTGGTCGTTAATGGAGATAAGAGTCTCATAAACTTTCCTGCCTGGGCTGGTTTTGAACCACAATCCTCAGATCTCAGCCACCTAAAGAGCTAGGATTATAGATGTGAGTCACCAGCTTCTATCTCATTCATTTAATTTTGAATGATTAACTGTATAAATGGTGCATGTTTCAGGACTTCTCTTATGCTCACAGAAAAATCCCAAGTGAATATGTCTTCTACTTCCTCAACAGCTTTCATCAAAAGAACAGCTTGGGCATTATAATTTTCTCTCCTAGGGCTGTATATTGGCAGTTCAACTTGATTTATTAAGAGTACTGTAGAATTTCATATTCCTAAAAGTCTTAATAGAGACTTCAGGAATTATCTTGATTTTACTAAGAAGCATGCTCTTGAGACTCTTTAGGTTAAAAGACAGCTAGTTCCCTTATACATTATTGATGAGAATGTCAATTAGTCCAGCCACTATGGAAATCAATATGGAGTTCCTCAAACAGCTTGGGTATAAACCCAATCAAATCTTAAGTCAGCATGCAATACCAAGTTCTGGGGTCAGTCTGGATTCCCATCCACAGATGAATAAAGAAAATGTGGCATAGATAACACAATGGGACTATAAGAGGAATGAAATCATGTCATATGAAAAAAGAAGAAGAAGATGGAACTGGAGACCTCCATATTAAGTGAAATAAGCCAGAATCTTGAAAAACAAACATTGAATGTTTTCCCTTGCATGCACTCCCTTTCTTCTTCCAGGTTTTATGCTTTGAGACCTGGAAGAAGGGGAGTTATTTGAGAAGAGCATGAGAAGCAGTGGGAAGTGGTATGAGAAAGAAGAATGGGGTGTAAATACAATAAAAGTACATTAGTTGCATGTATGAAAAATGTCATAATGAACCCATTATGTACAATGAATATATGCCAAGAAGACACCTCATTTCTGATGTAAATGTTAATTTCTTCTAGCCAGTTCACGTTCCCTCAGTGCGTCCCACTGGCTTCCCTCACGTTCCAGGCCTCAACGGGCTATAAGCAAGTTTGGTTCCATTTCAAGTCTAACAAATCACTGTACTTCTGTGCTGTATTAAACCTTAGAGTTTTACTCCTTCCACACAACTTCTCATGTGCCTGAGAAGTATTCACTTTTACTCTTTCTGCTAACATATATTACTTCAATATCATGTAATCCTCTTTATCTTGGATTTTGCCTCTGATCTTTTTTTCTTAAGTGTGTGAAACTGTCTCATGAGAGATCCATCTAGGGATTATAAATTCACCACACATTTAGTCATGATTGCCAGTCACTCCCACGTACTCAGCCATCTGCACATCGAACACCCTTCCATACATACAACGCCCACCCAGACAGCCCCGCTCCTCTGGCAGTCCCCTGGTATACCGTACCCCGCCCACCCACTGTGGAAGTCACACCCACCTGCTGTGATAGGCTCAGTACACAGACCTGCAATCCTCCCACATCGGCACGCCTCCTCCCAACTCACAGCTCCCCCGCCCACACACACATGTGCTCTCAGACACACAACCCCTTTTATAACTCACAATCACTTGCCCATTGTAACTGTCCCTCTTTTGGGGAAATGAAATGGCTAGGATGGAGAGTTAAAGGAGTATGGCCAGATGTGTGTCTCGATCTAGAAAATTAAAGGTTTTTCCCAACCTTATATTCTTTCAGAAAATATGTTTAGGCCCCACAGAAGAAAATACTTGGACGCACAGTAACTAAACATACAATATATATTGCATGTGTTGTATCTGCAGTGTGGGTTGGGGCAGCCTAGAGGCCAAGGAGAGCTGATTGTGTAGATGGGCCCAAAGGCTCACTTGCATGTACTGTGCAGGCACCTGATTGCATGAGGTCTGCCCACACGTGAAGGGCAGTTAGCTTCCTTGTACCAGAGTTTGAACTACGGACCCCAGGCTCTGGGTGGGCTTGCTTGCCCACAGCTGGTACTTTACTACAGGAGCCATACCTTCAGTACAGAATTTTGCCAATATTGGAGATAGAATCCCAAGCACTTTTTCTGACTAGGCTTTGTGTGATTTCCCCATAGCTACTCAGCTTCCTGAGTAACTATAGGTGAGAGCCCAGCTCTGATCACCAGTAAATGTTAATCTCACCCAGAACATCCTTCAAGTTAACAGATAAAATTAATCACCCCACAGCCACACACACACACACACACACACACACACACACACACACATACACACATACACATCTGAGAACCAGCTGTCTACTTACATAAATATCATAAAGATAGATGAATATGTAGAAAGAGAATGACAGTGCCAGAGTAAAGTTTTGGTATATTTCTTACGAGGTTGTTAACTCAGAAGCTTGTTCGAGTAAGGGGGTGTGGGTTTTCCTCATCACCCTCAGCAGATGTATCCCCTGGAGACCCAGCCAACCTGCAGAGACATTCTGTGACTCCCGCCCAATACCTCATCCCGGGCAGCGCGCACACATCAACATCTGGAGCCGTGAGGGCAGCAGCTGACCCTCTGTTCCCGCTGTTCTTAATGATGTGGCTGCCATTTGAAGGAAATCAAAGCAACCTTGAAGGTTTTTCACTTCATTATTTATTTCAGAGACAGGCATATGAAAAGTCACACTTACCAAGGTCATCTGCATTTTTGTTCCTCCTTCTTCTAGTTAGATGAGAGGTAATGGCTTAATAAATATAACATTATCAAAGGAAAAAGTCATGGAGAATTTGAGAGGTGTGTTTTTACTTCCATTTCTGGCAAGGGCGTACAGCTGTTGGAAGAACTAAGTTTCCAGAATACAGACTATACATACAGGTATTTATAGTCCAAATGGCTATGCAGCAGGCAACATTTGGGGCAATTTCAATGAGAAGCCATATGTATGAGGAAAAACAGGCTGGGTCAACTTTTCAAAGCTTTTAGGATGTCCCTGTAATTCAAAGCCTTTAGGAATTTCCCATACTTCATGGCTTATCTTGAAACGCAAGGTTTGGGGGAATGGGAGACTCTGGACTAGCTGGGCAGCTGGCGGAGCTGAAAGGGCTAAGGAAAAGAGCAAGCCATTACCTTTGCTCCTTCAGGAATAGAGGTTTGTGGTGTAGATTTAGCAGGAAGTGGGTAAGAAAGCAAAATGATTCATTCTACCATAAGCTTCAGTCTTGATCCCTCCTCTCACATTTTGTCGATAAATTATTTCTGAACACCGAATTTTTTTTGGTAAGTTGGTAATTCTGAACAAGTCTCTCTCTCTCTCTCTCTCTCTCTCTCTCTCTCTCTCCCTCCCTCCCTTTCTCTCTCTCTCACACACACACACACACACTCTCTCTCTCTCTTTCTTTCTCTCTACTAGTTTGATGTTAAATTTCATAACCCTTTGTCATTTTGTGCTTCTTACATAGTGGCTACTATTTTTAAGTTTTATGGGATTGTTTAAAAATAAGACATCAACTGGTTTTACTCACTTAAATTCCATTAGGGTCACAGTTACATAAAATTCTTTGTGATTTTTCAAATTCCAGGGAAAATTCATTCTGACATTTAATTATGGTAATCACAGTTATGGATTAAACAGAGACACTGTGGAAGATATTGCAAGAGATGGGTTGGCAAGCTGTATTCATATGGAAATAGAAGTAAGTGTTTTTCATTTAATCAGAAGGGTGTGTGTGTGTGTGTGTGTGTGTGTGTGTGTGTGTGTGTGTGTGTGTTGTGGTCTGGGCTGCCTTGTGTGGTCAGAAAGAGACTTGTCTGAACTACTTGGTCATACTACTAGACACAAGAGAATTGCATAGTGAAGTGTGAGTTATTAAGTTTATAATTAGCATCGGGAAGGCCAGATGTGAAAAGTTAATTGGATTATAATCCAAGAAATTACATATACAGTATAAGTCAAACTGCAGTTCCAGCTGCATTTTCTTTTGTTTCCTCACTAATTAATCCTTTTTCTTTTCACAGCCTGGCCTCTGTTTTGTATGAGTTGGTGTTAGGTGAAGCTAGATCTGCTTCCGTGTCTCCTCAGGGTGTGGAAGGCTCTGAGTGCCTTGTTTCTTCTTTTCCTGGGAGATGTGTGGCCAGTAGTGTCACTGGACTCTAGTTGCTCCCTGGGAGCAATATTTTTATATTTCTGACAACTTAGTAAATTTTCAGGAGATTTCCCTTTCTCTATCCTGGCAGCCCATCTTTCTTTCCTATTGACTCTGAATCTCTTCTACATTTCCCTTGTAACTTCACAGAAAATGGAAATCTCTTTTGTGGCTCCTTGATTAGTATTGCGATTCCTTAGCTTCCACGAAGCTGGTCACACCTCTCCCATCATTCCATCCTTATCTTTCTGTAGTTGACTGGTTTGTGTATCTTTAAGAAGTATCTCCACTGGGCTCTGCTGGCTCATGCCTGAGATCTGAGGATGATGGTTCCAAACCAGCTCCAGCAGAGTCTAGGAGATTCTTATCTCCAAGTAACCAGCAAAAAGCTGGAAATCAAGCTGTGGGTGAAGTGGTAGAGTACCAGCCTTGAGCAGAAAAACTAAGAGATCAATTTGGCCCTGAGTTCAAGCCCTAGTACACACACACACACACACACACACACACACACACACACACACACACACACCACACACAACTTCAATAGGAAGAAATGCAAGCTCCTTTTAAAATGAGGAGTCAACCTGAAGGAAAGTTTGGAAAAATACTTCTGTTGGGGAGAACCAGGGGCATAAAACATCATTTACAGACTCAACCTCCTAGAAATTAGTAGGAATAAGCTCTTAAAGGAAAAAAAGGTAAAACAGGAGCCATCACTCAGCTAAGTGTGAGCTACAATAAGGTAGAATCAAAAAAAAATACTGCATTCTGCATTCAAAAATATATTTATTTTTGTTTTTGCCTTGTCCAGGTCAAAACTTTTTATCAAGTATTTTTACAAAGCAATTCGAACAGAAACAACAACAAAAAGATGCTTTTTTAATTGCTCTGTTCCAGTACTGGGACTTGAATTCAGGGCTTCGCAATCTCACTTTGCTTTTTCACTCAAGGCTGGTGCCCTCCCACTTGAGCCACTGCTGTACTTTCAGTGTTTTCCTAGTTAATTGGAAGTAAAAATCTCATGGCTTTACTGCCCAAGTTCGCCTATCTTGGACTCCTGAATAGTTAGGATTACAGGCTTGAGCCTACTGGGGCCCCGCCCTATTGAATTTTTGAAAGGAAGATTTTTGGGTTTGAGTTGAGCTGATGATAGAATTGAGCTGGAGTGAACTTGAGAGGTTGGAATCATTCATTCTTTTACTTCCTCCTATGGGGAAAAGGATACCCAGCGAGCCTGGGTGATTTCTGCGGGGTCAATAGGAGTTGTAGAGCTGTGGTTATAATCAAGCTCTCCAGGTTTGCAGACTCTTCAGCCTATGATCTCCTGGTTAGTAGATTACCATGAGTTTGGCCTTTCTGACTCCAGTCAGAGGCCACGAAATATCACTGGAACTAGCAAACCCAGGCTGCTGGCTTAGGAACAGAAAGGGGCCAAGGTAATGACAAGGGGTAAGGAAGGAACCTTTCTGCCTGGTAAGATTTCTGTATCCTGATGCTCCAAGAAAACCAACTGCAATAATGGAATTGAAATTGCTTTTCAGTAATAAAGTGGCAGTACTGCTGTGAATGTACCGATTTTTATATCTAGTAATTTTCTTTTTTAGCAGCCTTATTCATTAGAATGATTAATCAGGGAACAACCAGGTGGAATGAATTCTAATATTTCCAATGATACTTTAATATTTGATGACAAGAAAAAAGTAATCTAGTCTTGAAATATTCATTAGAAAATAGTTACTAGTTCTACAGATAAATTTTTCAACAGTGATTATGATCTCTAAATCTCTGGTGATTATGATCTCTAAATCTTGTCTCTGTTCCATCTTATTATCATTTCTTTAAATGCCTAGGGTGTAAGAAGTTTGAAATATTCTTATTTTGAGCCACGATATATCTTGGTGGTGCCCATGAACAAGGAAAAATATGAGGGACACCTGCGGAGGAAAGGGTTATTCAGTCGTGCAGAAATTGAATTTGCCGTCTCCAGAGTGGACCTTTATATTAAAATTAATCACAAATTTCCAGGGTATTTTGATGCTGTCATCAATGCAGGTTAGTAACTCTCATCAGAGTTTTACTTTTTGCTATGTAAGATCACTGGATTAAAAATTTGTGTCATGGGGAAAAAATCCTTTGGGAAAAGTTTTATTGAGGCAATGAATCACAAAATAAATAAAAGGTACAAAAGAATTCACAAGACCTGGGTTTCCACTATTTTAATCAGAGTATTATCCTCATTATTCTCTAACATGATTTGGTGTGAAATGGCCCTAGAATAGGTTTCTTCTTTAGGGGACATTGTGAAAACAAAGTTATAAAATATGTAATTTCAAAGGTGCATTTTAAATTATATGAAACTCAGTTTTATCATAATCTACCTTTAGGTTAAAAACCCAGCTACTAAAATTATCATGATCATGAAAATATCTGTCTAAAATGAACATTTTCAAAAATGATCTCAGAAATGGACAGTTACTTGGAACAGTAATTAGAGGAAGAATATCCTGAAATTTAGAAAATTCTGTGTATTTTTAAATTGCACTGTATTTTTTTAAAAATCCATAAAAAGAAATGAGAAAACATACCACTCTATGTAAATATGAGGAAAAATCTCTAAGTCATTCTGTTACTACAAAAAGCCAGATTTACAGCCATAGATGTAATATTATAGTTTACAGTTTTTAAGAGGAAGTGGTGCTGTGGCTCAAGTGGTAGAGCGCTAGCCTTGAGCTGAAGAGCTGAGGGACAGCGCCCAGGCCCAGAGTTCAAACCCCATGACCAAAAAAAAAAAAGTTATGTACTTACATTACCTCAAACTACAGAATTTCACCACTTATGGACATTAAAACTGAACCAAATGATAGTCAAATTTTTTTCTTTTTCTTTTTTTTTTTTGCCTGTCCTGAGGCTTGAACTCAGGGCCTGGGTCCTGAGCCTCTTTGTGCTCAAGGCTAGTACTCTACCACTTGAGCCAAAACACCACTTCCAGTCTCACAGACTTCCTGCCCAGCCTGGCTTCAAACTGCAATCCTCAGATCTCAGCCTCCTGAGTATAGGCATGAGCTACCACTACCCAGATTGATATTCAACTTTTTTCACCTATGCAAACAATAATTGTATATGGTTCAACATAATAGTATTTGATCTCTGAAGCACGTTAACATAGTAACCCCATCATAGTGGTTTTCCACTATTGCATGGAAATGCTCACATTTAGCAGCTAAAAGCAATGCTCATTCATTAGGTCACAGTGCAACCATTGGTGGAGAGTCGGGTTGGGCATGGCTGGGTGCTTTGTGCATGGTCGGAGGCTGAGAGTCCAGTGCCAGCTGGCTCTTCTGAAGGCTGGGGAAGGAAAACTCTACGCCCAAATTTATCTTGTCATCAGAATGCATATTTTTGTAGTTTTAGGACTGATGTCCTTGTTTCCTTGTTGGCTGTTTGCCAAGGGTTGCTTCTAGAATTTTCTTTCAGGTCTTATCCACATGGCCCTCCACCATCTTCTAGCCAACAACAGCGCATTTGATCCTTTACATTCATTGAGTCTCTGACTTTCTCTTCTGTGCCAACAGGGGGAAAGCTCTTCTTTTGTGGAACTCATATGATTAAGTGGGCCCACTTAGATAATCCCCTTTTTGATACGCACAAACTCATTAGCAACCTTAATTCTATATTCCAAAAAAAATCCCCCTTGCCATAGACGTACATAATCGCAGATGTGATCTCTGATGGCCCACACTGCAGGACCTCTTGGAATTCTGCCTCTCACAGTATTCATAATAGTAAATGTTGATGGAATCAGAACCCTCAGCAACTGAACACTGATTGAATTTGATAGGATCCTGTTACAGTCATTAATGTGCTCTCTCCTTTACTGAAGATGATCTGGACGCTGCCTACCAAAAGCTGAGTCAGCTCATTAGAGGATACTTGGGATTGACAGAGGAACCTGCCAAGACTTTGGCACCAACTTCAGGTACTATCCTAGGTCCTTTGTGCCGGTTTCTTGTTTGTTTGTTTTTTAATGCAGTAAGAAAGATCTGTTATTATTTGGGTATTCATCTGCCAGGCCACAGCTGGCTCCTGACTCTCCAATGCCTGTCATTCGCCTGAGGTGATTGTTCATCCCTGAAACCTAATAGAATCCAGGAGTCTGGGCTTTGGGGGCCTTCTGGCCCTTGGAAGAAAGCAGTAGACAAGGGTTGGTCTAATGATTCAGATCCTAGCCTTCCAGAAGTTTAATTCTCTTAGGGGGCTGAGATGTTGTTGTCCTCATGGGGTTTATATTTTGTCCAAGAATTTCAAGAGTTTTCTTTCCTTTTTCCTCCAAACTGCCCCAATCCTCAAAACGTTGCATTGAAAAGCATAGCAGAAAGAACCGTAGCCAGAGCATGTAAATCTGGTGCCGGCCCTGTTGCTATCGTGCTGCTACCCAGACCTCATGCTCTGCTTCTGTCTCATGCGTCATGAGCAGCAAGTGATGGAGGCTTTACAAGAGAGCTTCTCTGTGGAATCTAGGAATTCTAAAGCCCTGACTTAGAATTTTAGCACAGAACTGATTTTAGATGGATGTGAAAGGTTCCCCCGTGTACCTCAGACCCATTAGTGTAACTACTATATAAGAAAAAATAAAATTATCAAAGCCAGGCACTGCTGCCTTGTGCCTGTAATGCCAGCTACTTAGGAGGATGAGACCTGGATCTTGGCTTGAAACTAGCTGCTTTTTCCAATCAACTGGCAACAAAGCTGGACTAGGGATGTGGTTCAAGTGGTAGAGCACCAGCCAGGAGCAAGAAAGCCAAAAGTGTTGAGCCCTTGATTCAAGCACTATTACCAGGACACACACACACACACAGAGTGAAACTGTTAGGAATGTAAACTATCATAGCTGCTGTGGAAAATAGTATGTGAATTCCTAAAAAAAAAAATTAAAAGAGTTCCCATATGATTTAGATGCTTCTCAATATATACCACCAAAGAATTGAAAGCAATATCTTGAAGAGATCATGACGCACTCAAGTTCATAGCTGGATTAGTTACATTAGCCAAAGGCTGAAGCAACCTAGTGGTGGTACGAATGTTAATGTACATACAGTGAAACATTACCCAGGCTTAAAAAGGAAGGAAGTCCTCACACATGCTATAGCTTAGATAAACCTTAAAGACATGGTAAGCAAAATATGCTCGTCACAAATAGCAGCCACTGTTCAATTGTATTTATGTGACATGCTTCACACAGTCAGATTTATAGAACCAGAAAGTAGAAGAGTGATGACCAGAGGCTAAGTGAAGGACGAATGGAGTGTTACTGTTTCATGGGTACAGAGTTTGAGACAATGAAGAATTCTGGAAATGGATGGTGGTGATGTGAACGTGCGTAACACACTGAGTGGTACTCCTAAAGTGGTCACAATGGTTAATGGTATACTACGTATAAGATGTGTTTTAACCATCTCTCAGTGGGCTGAACTCCATTCCTAGATTCCACATTTCCATACCTTTACCCACGGTTCTTGCTGCTTTGTAGATGTGATGTGGCTTTGTGCTGTGGCGTTGGTGTCCCTTTGCCCAATTGTGATTCTGTTGGCCTTTGGTTGTATTCTGGCAAATGGAGAGAGGTTAGGTTGCAATTGTGCCAGAGTTCAAGCCAATTGTGCCATTTTGCACTTTGCATTTTTCCAAATTGAGTGTCCATGGTGTTTTGAAATAAAGTCAAAATGGTAGCTGACAACAGATAAAGCAAAAAGTAACCCTAAAACTCAGCTGATTATGACTAAGAATTTTCTTCTGGGTCTCATGGAAGAACACAGTTATCAAGGGTATGATCTACCAGCTAGACATTAAAGGTGACTTGACCTATCAAACTGGCATCGGTGGAGTACAGAGAGTTGCTCTCTACAAAGGAGGGTGGGCATTAAATTAGGAGCCAGGGTATCTACCTAGTTCTGATCTGATCATCTGCAGCAGAGACTGGCTTTTTAGAAAGCCACGATCATTAAGCAGTATAGTGTAGTCTACCTCACGAGGCTTCCAGAACTCCACAGGACTTTCTCTTGAGGAAATCTGACTCTCTTTGTGTTAATTCTTTGCTATCCAGGCAACCTTTGGATCTTTAATTTGGTCCCCTGAGTGGACCTGCTCCTGTGGGAGGCGCTACCTTACGTGAGAACACCCCTCCCTGATCCCTGAGCTGGACCCATCTCCCATTGTAAATTAATAAATTGGTGTGCTGGCTTTTACACCAGCCTCTTGTGGGTTTGGAGAAACACACATCAGTCCCCTGAGTCTGACCAGTTCTGAGTAGATGAGAAACGTGCGATTCTGTATGGGAGCATGGTAAAGACAGCCTCAGCAGCAAGTAGGCCCACCGCGGTGCTGTAGCTGTCCTTATTCCACAGCAGCCAGCAACTGCACTTCAGTGCAGTTGCCATTTGGCAAATTAATAGACCAGATAATGCGTGCATAGGAAAATGGACTCCTATTTTAACGGGTATGATAAACCTTTATTTATTTAGAATAATTAGGTTAGGCCTATCTGATTTAATGAAAGGCATGAATTACAGAATTTATAGAAACGTTCTCATTCTCAGATACACTTAATGACTAGAAGTTATTCAGTTATTGACTAATAGAATTCCAGTTTGAAAAAGTAGCTGGGACATAATTACATTTCATATATCATTATTACTAGTCTCAACAGACCTTTGCTTTTCTGGCAGGTTTAGTATTTTGGAAAAGATTGTGTTCTCTTAAGCCAAACACTTTATCTTACTTATGCAGTTGATTTGCAGAGGAAGTTACTTTTTTTTCCAGTTTGATGCCTAATATAAATTTGCACACAGTGTGACAGAAATTATACAAGTGAACACTTAAAATTCGAAAGAGCACAGTCTTTACTAATAAGCTTTTATGGTATCTCTAATAACCCAAGAAGTCGAGCCAATGGCCTCTCTAAATTTTACGACTGTGAAGATTTTGCTAAGGAGCATGGACCAGGCATTTACAGTGCAGGAGGATAGAGCCCAATAATAATTGCCTAAATGAAACATCAAGACCTCCTGAGAAAGGGGCCCAGGCCAGCAGAGCCAGTGTCCTGCGCTTGACTGGTTGCCTCACTCACCTGTGTCTCTGTCTCTCTGATGTTTAAGGTTTATGAATGATTGGGCTGAGCAGTGAGAAAACTGGACTGGAAATGTAAAGCCTTACTTTTATGTTCTAAATTGAACCAATAATCTTTTTAACTTGGAATAGAGTCATTTTCTTTAATTTTCTGAAAGAAAGAAAGAGAGAGGAAGGAAGGAAGGAAGGAAGGAAGAATCTAGCCAGGCACTGGTGGCTCACATCTGTAGTCCTAGTTACTCAGGAGGTGGGGATGAGGATTGTGTTTCCAAACCAGTCCAGGTAGGAAAGTTTGTGAGACTTTTTTTTTTTGGTCGGTCGTGGGGCTTGAACTCTGGGCTTGGGTGTTGTCCCTGCACTCTTCAGCTCAAGGCGAGCGCTCTACTGCTTGAGCCACAGCGCCACTTGCGCCACTTCTGGTTTCTAGTGGTTTTTATCAGATATAAGAGTCTCATACTTTCCTGCCCAGGCTGGCTTTGAACCACGATCCTCAGATCTCAGCCTCCTGAGTAGCTAGGATTACAGGCGTGAGCCACGGGTGCCCGGCTTGTGACAGATGCAAAGGAGGCTCAGTGTGAGCCTAGAGAGCGCGAGGAGGAAGGTGGCCGGGGCCGGGGTGCTGCTGGGGAGGACCGTGCTGGGGTCACCTCAGGTAGGTACCTCATTTGTTTTGGAGCCTATGAATATCAAGTCTCCCTGGAAGTTTCTTCCAGAATGTTCCATACTGGAGTGTCACCTCTGACCCTTCCGCATTCCAGTACCGTGTCCTCAGATGAAATGAGTGCTCCATCCCAAGCAGGTGCCTGCTGGGGAGCAGAGTTACTCCATGGATGTGCTCCTGTGGTGACTGGAAGAAGCAATCCCTCTCTGCAGACACAGCATTGCTGGGCACCTCTGACAGCCATTAGTGAAGCCAGGGCAGACAGGGGAAGGAATCTGAGGCTCCGGGGTGGATAAGGGCAGCAGCTTCTCACACTGCATTGCCCGACCCTTTCCTGGACCCTTTCTTCCCTGTTTCTCCCATTCATCACTTGTTGAGCCCTGGCCATGTGGGTAAACAGACGTGGCCCCTCACGGCCCTTGGAACTTAACGTCAGGGACTCTCCATTAAACAAGGACACAAGCCAGGGGGACCTGGTCAGTCTTGATGTCCGCCCCGTAGCTCCAGAGTGGAGAACGCTTAAGATCTCATCACATGGAAAACATGTTCTCCACTCCCAAACTTGGCTCTGAGACTCCGCCTCTTCCGTGTGTATTCATTCGCGTTCCTGTTGGCAAACAAGGCCCTCAGTTCTATTAAAGCGAATGGCAGACAGTCTTCCCAAGGAGGGCAAATCCAGGTCTCCTCGGTTGGTGTAACTTGACTCTTCGAGGGTGTCCACGCATCACCAAAGGGAAAGAGGGTTTTGTTGTTGTTGTTCTTATTTCTAGACAGTGCAGACCATTTCTTTAGCTAACTTGTGTTTATATCAAAGCAGGGATATCTTCTAGCAAGAAGACCACCTCTGGGGTGCCAGCTCACCTGGTCCCCTCCCCCAGGCGCCTGGCAAAACTGCAGGCCGCCGGCCAGGTGAGAGGCCGTCCCTCCGGAGCGCAGGTCCCCGCCGAGGTCCCCGGGAGCCAGGACGGCGCAGACCCTTCCCAGGACCCCGAGCCCGCGCCGGGGCCTTCCTCCCCCAGCCCGCCGGAACCCGAGCTTCCGCAGCCCCCTGGGCGGGTCGCAGGCTCGTCCCCGCACGGGGAG